TCGCCGTAATGGGACAAGGAGATGAAAATATCTGTCAGGGCTAAACTGTGGCAGTTAATTCAGACAAAGGAGCAGCCAGCCAGCCATTCCATCCAGTGGCCACTGCAGGAGCTGCTGGTGCTGGAGCAGAGGTGGGTGGTTATCAGTCCCAGGAATTAACAGCTGAGTTGGGCATCGCTGGGGGGATGCTGTGTTAAAGCATCAGCTTGATTTGCTCCCGGCTCTGGAAATACCTGCACACATTATGACAAGGTCAGTAGCAGTTTTCAAGTTGTGTTATTGTTGTAATTCTGTTTTTGCAGGAGGTTAGCTTCCTGATTTATCCTGGGTTAAAGCATCTCATTTATATTTTCCTCTGCTAAATAAAAATATCCTACCTAGTTGCCAAAGATCTGCTGGTTTTGGAAGGGCCTAATGTGGCATTTACAAACTCTTGTGAGTTTATGTGTCAGAGATGCAGTGATTTGTGCTATTAAGAAATAATCATCTGTGCATTGTGCTGCTTTGTTATGCAGCTCTTTGCTGATTCACAGCACTGACCTGCAAACCCTCCCCTTTTACTAATGGCATGCTGTCAGTTTAGGAATTTTAGAGGGTTTTTTTTCACCTGCTGTTATAATAAGGCCTGTGACAGGGTCTAACGACACATGACCCTAAAATTCTCGTGGTACTCTTTATTACTAAAAAGGCTTATTTTTATTTGGTTTCTCTGAGCTGGGCCAGCAGTCTGTTGCACTTTAAAAGTGATACCTTGTGCCCTTTTAATGGCAATAAAATAACATTGCTTCTTTATTGATAACCTCTGGTTTCATTGGGATATTTTGTAGAAGAAAATTAGTCTTGCCCTTAGCTTTTATAAAGGGCTGTTACGGCAAAGCCACACTTAAAAGGTATTTCCAAAGCATAAATCATTGAAATCAAGAGAGAAATAATTCCAAATTTAGTTGTTTTTGTACAAGCTGTTAAATGGTGTGAGGAATAGATGATGGATGCATTTTTGGTGTCAGCAGATGCCTCCCCTTTTCCCCTCACAAACAGCCCTGGGTTTGCTTACAGCTTTTTTAGTAGAAAGCAAGAAAAGAAAAGAAGCTGTGGATTTATGAAGAGGTTAAACAAATATGATGCAGAGATGCAGAGACTGCATATTAAAGAGTAAACTCCATGGCTTTATTTTCATAGATGTTCAAAGGTGTTAGAGAAAAAAAAAACCCACAGGTTCCTCAGTTCAAATAGGCTTCATTTATCTGCTTTTTGGTGCTGCTTTGGGGCAGTGCTCTCAGAGGAACCTGTGCCAGCACAGGAACTGCCCAGAACTGTGTGCAGTAAAGCAGAAACTAAAAAAGATGGCACTGGGTGTGTAAAGTTTCTGGAGTTTCTTGGACAGTACAGGAATATCCAAGAAGTCCTGCTGGGATGTCATCCCTTGCACACAGAATGTGCATTGTGCAGGAACCAGACCCTGTCGTGCAGCGTGCACGAGCTGGTTCCTAAATCCATAAAATCCAAGAATGAACAGCCCTTTGCTACACCTGGGCTCAAATGCTCAGCGTGTTGCACAATCGAGTCCAAAAGCAGAGGTTCAGTGTTATTGAGCTCCAGTGTTGCTCTCCTGTCACACTGCTCAGGGCTGGGTGTGACTGAGGTGACTCTCACAGGAGAGCCATGAGGAGCTCAGGCAAGGAGCAGGAGACATGTGAGGTTAAAAGCAGAGCAGAATTTCTTTGGATTTCCGCCCAGATTTCTGCTAAAAATGGCTGGTGCATGTATTGGCAAAACGTTATTCCCAGCCCACACGAATGTCACTGCTGATGATAGGTCAGTCATGCATCTTGTGGAAATAAACCAGTCTCTAGTCAGTAAAATGTAGTTTTCCTCATTTATTTTCCCCCCACTGGTGAGTATAAATGCAGCTTATAGAACATGCTGCTTCTTAATTTGCCCTAGTATTTCAGAAGCCAATATATCATTTACTAAGTCACCAGGAAGTCTTCTGTGAACTGGATAATTTTGTTGCTGAGATGTTAACTTTGCTCTGCTTTAACTTTGGATGGTGTTTGTGCTTTTTGGAAATTTGGGAATGGATAGCCAACCTTTTCTCCTTTAACCTCTGAAAGCTCTACTAAAATCTGACACCACCATGTGAGTACAGCTGTTGCAAGCTTTTTTACCTGTATCTCACCAGTTTTGCACTTTTCAGGCTTTCAATTGATAGTCACAAGGACTGTTTTTTGCTGGAGACCTTTTCCCTCAGGCCTAAGGCAGGAGGTCAATTTACCCTGCAGAATGGAATCATAGAAGGAAGTTTTGGTGTAAGAAATTTGAGATGGGTAGCATTATCTTGCTGCCAGGAATATTTAATATGAAAATATTGGTTTCCAACAGTAGAATTGCCCAAATTTCTTACACTCAGTGAAACCCTTATTGAATTCTACTTGATGAATTGAGATATTCAAAACTGAGCAGTCTTTATTTGGTCAACAAAAGTTTCCCTAAAACAAGACCGAAATTGAGTTTAAGGACTAAAATGATTATACTGACGATTGTTCTGGGAATAAGCTCCATGGAGCCAGGTGTGACCTTCCAGTTCCTGGAGATCCCAGAATTCTACACCTAACTCATGGCCAGCCCGTGTTCTTCCAGTGCTGGTGGCACCAGGGGTTGTGACTGAGCCATTGCACCACAAAGGATTTCAGAAATCGTAGGGGAGGCCAGAAATGTAAGGGGAAGCCCAACACATTGGCTGAGTTGTTTTGTGAAGTAGTCATTTGGCAAAACACAGAAGTGCTCTTGAGTTAGGGTCAAGCAGGCCGAGTTCCTCCTTCCCACAACCCTGTGACCCTTCTTGTGCTGGTTGGAGTGGGGCAGCTCCAGCAGGAGAGGTGGAAAATGCTCCTTTTGAACTTCTTTTATTCCCAGTTCTGTGTGTGGGAGGGTGGCTGGAGACCCCTCTGCTTGAAGGGAATGTGACACCAGGATGCGATGAATCTCTGATTGTGAGATGCTTGTACCTCCACCCTCCCAGGCCACGATTTAAAATCATTGAGAGATGGTCCTGCTCAGTTCTTTGGCAGAAAGGGTGTGCTTTTACATCTGGAGTGGCTGCAGATGTGGGCCTTGAGTGACAGTCCCCAAAATCAGGATTGAGGCTGGAATTGAGTAAAATTTGTCCCTCCTTTCTGCAATTTGTAGGAAGCAGATTGAAGTTGCCCTGCTCTGTCAGCCCTGGTCTGCAGGGCTCCTTGAGCAGGAAGCTGAGGAGCTTTCCAGCTGTTTTGTATCTCTGATGTGAGGCATTTTTTCCTCCAAGGGGAATTCCAGAGCTTCTCTCTAGGTTCAGGATTTCATCACAGGGTGCCAAGAGGGGAGGCTGCTTGTTCCAGTAACTGCAGTGTTTGCTTGGATCTGTACTTCTTGAATTTTCTTAGTCCAGTTCTAAGTTGTTTTGACTGGAGAGCTATTTTGCTCTGAAGTTCTCCTTTCTATCATCCTTTAAACATACTTGCCTAAGAATATTTTTTTTCCTATCTTTGGTGTCCGTGAAAATGAAAATTAAATTATATGTTATATTTTTAGTGATCCCTTGTAGGTGTGTAGTCTGCTTTAGAAGAGTGAACCAAGTGCAGGAAGAATTTCTTGTCTCATGTACTCCCTAAAATTACAGAATTATGGAAGCACTACACCCATTAATGTGAACTCTGAGATGCTGTTTATTGTGCTGTAATTTAATCCCACTTTCATGGGCCTTGATTTCTGCTCCTTGTCCTTCACAGGTTCTGCATCATCTGGGAAAGGTTATTGGTGAGGGCACACTTTTAATGGCACCAAGCTCTGGAGCCATCTCCGATGTCTGAGTGATTTGAGCTTTGTTTAAATAATTGATGAGAAGTGTTAGTCAGAACCTACTGGTGATTCAGGCTGCATTATTCAAAGATATTTACTGACAGTTATAGATTGCTCCAAATTTACTTCTCTTTCCAGGCTGCATTAAACTAGGCCCTGCGTGACATATATGTCTATTTAAAAAAGAAATAAATCCTTGTTAATACATATGAAGAACTGTGGGCTTAAGTGCTGTATTTAACCAGTTGTAAATAAGCAAAAATAATTAATGAAGTTTTAGCAGGAAAAAGCATTTTGTTTTCAAGTGGAAAATGCTTTTTTCCTCTGTCTTGGTTGTTGTTCAGGAGTAGACCTGAAAACATCTTGTATTTCAGTGACTTTAATGCAGCTTTCCCTGTACTGGTAGCTGGGGAATGGTTGGGTGTGAGACTTCCTGCCTGCCTCATTAGCCACCCACCAAAGCATCTTCTGTAATGGCTGCAGCTTTTAATCTCTGACACTTAAAAGCTCTTCTGGCTCCCAGCACCATTTAGGAAAAGAAAGTCTGGTCTAGGAGATTCTCCAGAATTGATTAAGATGACACTGGGCATCTTGCAAAATCTCCTTTTACCTTTTTTTTTCTTTTTCCAGAGTAAATATTTCCAATTTCTTGTATTTCACACTTGTAGAGGTGCCTAAAATTCTGGTTGAAAATGCTGGAGGACAGTGGGATTTTATCAGGCTGTTGTCAGGAGTGAAGTGTGACTGAAGCAATGCCAGTGTGACTAAAGCAATTGCCTTTCAGATTCCTGCCTTTGTCACAATTCCTGCAGGTGCCAGTCCCATGCAATTCCTTCTCTTCCCAGGTTCCTCAGCAGAAGGAGGAGTGTGCCAGGCAGATGAAAGGTTCATGTGTGTGAGCTTCCACATCTTCCTTTGGAAACCACCTCTGGAAACCATTGGGGAACTCTGTCCCTCTCAGTTTCATGTCCCTTTGGGAGGAACTTTAACATTTTATCACTTTCTTTTATCAGGCTCTTTTTCTTTTTAATTGCGTGCAGTAAATAATTCCACTGAAAATCACCAACTTCTTTTATTCCCAGGATTCACTGACATTGCAGCTGTGCATGGGTAATGAGCAGGTACTTGTCCCTGACTTCTCTTTGCTGTTTTCCCTACAGGAACTGTGGACATGGGTGGCAAACAGTCCACAAGTGGCGACGTCTCCGTCACCCAGACCCCTGTGACAGAAAGCATCCAGGATGCCTACAAAGCTGGGGACACCAGCAAGGCCCAAGAGTTGATTAGGTTGTCCTGTGAAGAGACTGCACTACAAGTGGAAAAGGTTGGGTTGGGTTACTGCTCTCTCTCAGATTTTATTGGCAAAGATGCCAAAATTTCAAGATGCTGCTGTCTTCTGTTGTTTTTTCATGGAGAGAATCCGTTTGGATGTGTGGGTCCCAGGCATGGCTGGTTGTGTGGGGCTCTGCAGGAACATGCTCAGTGACACAAGTTTGCCCTTGAAAACACAGATCAGGAAGATGAGGCAGGCCACAGGGAGCAGTGTCTGTAGGAACACAGGCTGTGTGAGGAGGGGTGCTGCTGCTGTGGTCACCAAAACAGGGAAATGCATTTTTCCCTATAAAAAGGAAGCAGAAAATGTATTCCCCCATCAGTGCAAAGATGGTTAATGGCCCCCTGGGAAGATTTTGCTGCCTGTGTGTGGAATTTTATCACAAACTCTGTGCCAGCTTCTGCACTGCTCTGCCTTCAGAGCCCTCCTTTTGAGCCTGCCCTTTGCACAGAACTCCTGTGTTTTGGGAGGCTCCCTGCATGTCAAGTCCAGTCACAGTGGCCATCTCCAAAAACAGGTAATACTGCATTTTGCAGCTGAGCTGTGCAAATGCTTTTTCTGTTGGTCCATGAAAAATGGGTTTATATTCACTGTTCTGTGCCTCAGGCACTAATGTGAAAAAACATACAAAAAAACTAAAATACAAACCCCAACAAATTATGTGAAAAACCATACAAAAAAACTAAAATACAAACCCCAACAAATTAACATAATAAATTTATCAACAATGATTACAATGGCCACTAGTGTTTATGACATTTCCAATTAACCACAGTGATAGTGGACTTGCCTTGGCATGGGCACAAAGAAGCCCATACAGCCCTAGAAATGCTCTTTCTCTGCCTGCTGCCTTTAACAGAGAGCTTCTTCTGCTGTGTTTCCTTCACCAGTGTCAGCTTTTAGGCATTGCAGCAGCATATGGGGACCTGCAGGCAGTGAGGTACCTGCTGAAGGAGGCGTTGGTGGTGTTACCAACAGAGCCCAACGATGACAATGCAGCGGTGGTGGCGGCGTATTTTGGGCACAAGGACATCGTGAAAGAGCTGCTGGATTCCCTGCGTGGTAAGGCCTGGCCTGACCCTGCCTCCCCTCGAGTTTTTCAGGAGCTGTGTGCTACAGCTCCAGGCAGGCATTTGGGGTTTTTGGCATTCCTTGGAAAGGGAGGGGTTTAGTCATGGGAAAGTGTGTGCAGGATCAGATCTCTGCTGTGCTTGAAGGAAACTTCCCCCCTGGGGTAGAGAAACACTGACATAAAAATATTCCGTGTTTGCAGACTGGAAGTGGAGGAAGATGCCATTGAGACAGTTCATTCCTGTCAGGCCTCACAGCTGGGTAACATCCCAGACCCTACAGGGAGATTAGGGGATTCTCAGGATGCAGCATCATCCCACTGCTGATCCAACAGTCTCAGTGGTGCTGGCAGAGTGGCCTGACTGGTCAGGGACACTTTGGGTGCACAGCTGACACCCACTCTGTTCTCTGCTTGACATTTTGGTTTGACTTTCAGGGGAATTCCTTCTTTAGAATAATAATTACATTTTACTTAAATTTTATTATAGTAGTTATTTTGGAGCAGAGACAATTTTTTTGACTCAGACACTGCTGCTCCTAAGGCAGCAGTGGGGGCAGGGGGCAGAGCTCTGACTCAGGACCAGGAGCTGTGTTTGGGTCCCTGTTGCTCTCTCAGTGTTCTGTGAGCTTGCCAGCTGCTTCTCCCTGGGACCTTCCATGCATTTGGGGTCCAGAGGTCCTGCAGAACATCTGGGGCAAATCCTTGACCTCAGACACTGCAGTAACACAAGAGCTAAGCTGGCTTCTGCAATATTTAACCTGAATATGGCTCTAACTCCTCACTGGGACTAAATAGTTGCCAATGGCCTCACTGAGAACAGGAATAACCTGTTGGGAAACCTGCTTATTTGGTGTCCTGTTGGAGCACTGGTAAGCAAAATAAATGTTCCAGTTTGGGGGATGCAATTAAATGTAATATTTCCTTCAGCCAGAAAGGAAGCTGAGTAACCTAGTAGAAAAATTAAATTATATTAATATCATGCACTGAGTAATGAAAAGTGACTTAAGTAGTTTCTGGAAACTTAGCTCAGTTTAGAAGTGACCAAATTCCCTCCAACTCTTGCTTCAGGGGGGTCAGGGGAGGAGCTTTGTACAAACAGCAGCTTTCAGAAATTTTTGTGCAGGACCTTCCAGCTGTCTTTTTTGGGAAGTTACAGAGAAACCAATCACAGGGCTTAGGTATAAATTGCCTAAATTTGCAATTTGGCTGTTGCACTGCAGTGATTCTCCCTGGAAGAGTGAGAACTACTTGTGGCTTACAGCTTAAGTGGAGCCCATTTTTTGTAGCAGGAGGGTGAGGGATTTAGTGGGGTTGTTAAGAATGCAAAGAGAGATGTAATTTCCACATGGATAAGCTGCAAAAAGCCTTGACATGTAAAACTTGGGCTTGTGGATGTTCCTGTAAGTGTTTCAGAGAGGATGTGAATTTGTAAAGGATATGGAAGTATTACAGGGAATCAGGGGAGATTTGGGGACTGCTTATTGTTAGCAGAAATAATTCTGTCCTGGGCATTTAGTTGCATGTCCAGAATTAGGCACAGCTAGAGAAAAGTGGTGTTCTACAGGAAAACGTTATTTCTGAAAAAAAAAAACAAAAGGCAGTTTGAAAACGACTAAAACATCAGCAAATTCATGCAAAAATAAGAAAATAGTCTTTTGGTTTTTAGCCTTAAATGACATTTGTCTGACTTTACTATGAATTAATAGTAAAGAGTTGACCTGAAATGAAATATTTGAAGGGAAAATGAAAGGTTTTGTGGGAGACTTCATGTTGCAGCAAAAACAAGCTAAAACAATTCCTTTTTTGTTGACTGAAGCATTTTGTTTTTGTTTTATTCATCCAATAACATGAAAACTTACCTGGTTTTCCCCATTCTTTGTATCCCCTCTCATGATCTTGGAAGAAGTGGCCAATCTTGGGTGTTTGGATCTAATGTCTGTTTGGATCTGGATGCAAAGACAGTCCTGATCATCCCTGTTTGGGGTCAGATGTTTATTTATCTGCTGGTGTTTTAGCAGAATGTTGCTGCCTTATGAATGCTTATGTCAAGGACAGACAAAAAATTTCACCCATTAGCTGGGTGGGTAAAGAAGAACAGTTAAGCAAAGCTGAAAACTCTGTGCCTGACCAGCTTAGGACTCTTCTCTGACACACTTCTGCAGTGCAAGCTGTTCCTTTTGTCCTCAGGAGCTTCACCCTGTCCCAAACCGTGGGCATTCCTCACACGTCACAGCCCGGTGGCACCAACTAAGTCACATTTTGTGTGTTTTTGGTAGGTCCCAATACTTACCAGCAGCTCCTGAACTGGATGCTGGCCATAGCCTGCCAGCAGGGCCATTTGGACATTGTCAAGCTCCTGATCCGTGCCTACAGTGCTGACCCAGAGAGCTGTGCAGTCAGGAGGAACGAGTTCCCCGTCCTCATCCGCCTGCCCCTCTACGCTGCTATAAAGGCAGGTGTGTGTTTGCATGCTTCACATTCTGCCCCCTTTCCTGCCAGCTCTTCAAAGAATGGGCTGAGCTGTTCACACACAGGATGGTATCCATGCCTTGTCTGCAGTTGCATTTCCAGCAGGATGAATTAAAGTAAAATTGGCTCTGAATCTGTCAACTCAGCCAAATTGGAGTCAGGGCCTTGGGAAGTTAGATTGCTGTAAATACTGAGAGGCTGAACTTTCCTCTATAAACTCCTAGGGAAAAGACCCTTAAAAACCAGAATCCTTGCAAGTAAAAGCATTATTGTTATGGACACTCTGGCAACACATGCTTGATTTAGGCTGAATAATTTGCACTTCAAAGCACAGCTGTGTGCGTAGTTTAATAAGATGGGAAAAGAAGAGAAAAAAGAAAGAGCTTGGGCCAGCACTTTTACACAGTGTCTTTGCTGTCTCAGTTTGACCAAACTGAGTCCTGCCACTGGAGGAAACAGCCTTTACACAGTTCAGTTTCCTTTTTGCACACCCCCACATTTTTTTTTCAGAAGTGGTTATTTCCCAGGATTTCTGTTCAGCTCCCTGCTGGTTCATTTACCTGAGGTGAAGGGAGCAAACAATCTGCTTTTCTCCCAAGGGAACGAAGATGTAGCTGTGTTTTTGTTGAGGAATGGAGCTTTCTTTTGTTCCTACATCCTGATGGACAGCCCTGAATCCAGCAAACACCTTCTGAGGAAGTATTTCATTGAGACAACCCCACTACCAGGTAGTGCTCCAGCAAAAACAGTAAGTAACCATTTATCTGCCTGAGGAGATGTTGTTTTGAATGGGCATCATGTTAATGGTTGATAATTGTCTTTGCATGCCATGCAGCTGCTGATTCTTCTCCTCAACTAAGAGCCTTGTGGTTTGCTGCCCTTTCAGAAAGCTGTGCAAGTGGCTTTGGTGCTGAATTACAGGGTGTGAAACATCAAGGCTTTGAATGGCATCACTGTGCAGGGCACAGCCACAGCTTCTGTGGGGCAGTTTAAACACCATTATGTGAGCCAGGGTGTGCTGGGGGCAGGAAACAGCAACTTTGGGCTCAAAGCCTTCCAGAGGAGAAACTGGGATGCTTCTAGCACAGATTCCCTCTGTGCCCCCAGGGTCATCACAACCTTTATGTTCCTGTTGTGCCTCCTGCTTGCACGGTGATGGCACCAGCTCTGTGGTGTCCCTGAGGGTTGGCATGGCACAGAGCTGAGCATGGGAACCCTTCTGTGTCAGGCAGTGCAGGTAAAAATGGACTTGGGTGGCTTTTTGTTAACAAGGAGCATGAGCAAAGCAATAATATCTTCCCTACTTCAGATTCTCAGCAGTAAAAAAGTGTCTCACACTGGTATTGTTATTACTTTATCAGGGAGCACACAGTATTTTGTATTATTTATACTGTTCTCCAGCAATTTATTACCAGGCATTTTGAATTTTTTCCCCTCAATATGTAGTTTAACCCACACTGAATAGGAGCATCATATCCCTGAGCTTTCAGTGCTTACAGTTTTCATCAGGTCACAAAAATTTGGCAGTGAAAAGATGTCCCTCACCAATCCAGTTGAGTATCTGTCTGCTCAGCTTGTAGCATTGCAGGCTGTTGGTTCTGTTTTGGTGTTAAATAAAAATAAGGAGAGAGCTTTTAGTAGCTTTACAAACTTCTCCATTCTCTGTTTTTCTGCCAGAATCCTCTCACTGTTCCTGTTAATAGCCTGGGTGTTAGACCACATAAGTGAGCTTGACTCCTTTAGGTTCAATCAGTAGATTTAGAGCCCTTTTGTGCTACTCTTAATTTTGTTGACAGATAATCAAAAGGAGTCTGAATTCTAGATGTGGAGAAGAGTTGATAAAATGTCTTTAAGAAGAAAAAAAATAAATCCAACTGGATAATTCAGCTTGAATAAGCTTGGAATAAATGTTTGAATCACAGGGAAGAGGTCTGTTTTCTATGAGAATTTGCTGGCAATATTTAACTTAGCTGCTGTAAAAATGACTCAGCTTTGCTGTTGTCACACCCTGAGCAAAGAAGAGAGCAGTCTTCAGATATCAGCTAATTGCCAGAAGGGCCTGGTTGAAAAAGAAAGAAAAAGAAAAAAAAAAAAAAACAGAGAAAAAACCACAGAATCTTGACCTTGATTGTCTTAGTAGCTGTTTATTTTTAATATGTTTGCTTATTTAATGCTTTCTCTTTGAATTCATTTTGGCAGACTGGGACAGACTGGGGAGGATCTGTCCTAGTTTGTCTGCAGAGCTCAGATCTTTGGGAAGTGACACTCACACACCCTGGTAACTTTGATAACTTTTTAAAACACAACTTTGTGGCAGCTGCAGACAAACTGCCTCGGTGCTTTCTTCTTGTCTCAGAGGGCTCATCCTGAGATGGATTTTGCACTGGGAGGAAGCAAAACTGGGCTGTGTGGAGACTGTGTGTGGCAGCCAGCTGGATGTCACAGAGTTCTCCCCTTGGACAGGAAGGGCAAATCAAGCACTGATCATTTCAGAGAGAGCCCAGAACTTCAGAAGGGTTTGTCCCTCTGTGCTATCTCTGAGTGGAACCACTCGAGCACAGCTGAGCTCCAATGGATTTCACAGCAGTGACTGCAGAGCTATGCACAAAAGTGCCTGAGAGCTGCTTTTGGCTGCCACACCTTCCAGACAGCCCTTGCACCCAGCACAGCTGCCCTTTCTCAGGCAACACCAGTTACATCTCATTTTTCTAATATCTGTTTCTCCTTTCTGTGTTCTTTCCTGGCATAAATTTATACCCACAGCAAACCACGGCTTTGCTAAAGAGGGGAAGTGGTCCATTTTTACAGGAACAGGTAACAAGTGCCAAAGAGAGCCTTTGCAATGAAGTGGCCAGGCACAGATTCCAGACTTCAATAGATGAAGCCAGCAGGGAGATAAATGTAACTTTCCAATGTGTGCTGTGTGAGATATATTTAATTTTTCCATTACGGGCCAGAGAAGAGCTTTGTCTGCTGTATCTTCCCTAGGAAATATTTTACCAATACTTTTATATTCAAGCATACAAATGTATGTGTGTGTGTGGGATCCTCCTCTCATTTCTTTATCCTGGTAATCTCACTTACATCACCAGAGCCCTGCAGCAGTCCCACACAAGATTCAGAGCAGAGCTGTTGATGGAGGGAGCAGATCCCTGTCCTCAGATTATCCCATCTACAGCAGGAGTGAGGTTCTGGAGCACGTCACGTCATTTAGGAGAAAAGCACAACAGCCTCTCTTAATCTCCTTACCAGACAGCCTCAGATTTAAGTAAATATTTTTCATATTTATAGTTGATCCTTTGCCCAAGAGCAGCGGGGTTTTTTGCTCCTGCACAATTTCCAGTCCTTTGCTTCAGTGCATCCCCTAACATTGCTGCAGTAGATTTCAATTTAGTCTTCAGGGCTTGTATTGGGAAATTCTTCCTTTGGCAGGAGAGGGGAGTCTGCAGAGGTTTTCCTTGGCCTTCTGAGGAGCAGTGAGCTGCCTGCAGTCAGCCCTGAGCTAACATCCTCTGAACTCTGTCCCTGGTTTAGCACAGAGTTCGTCACCAGCCCCAAACTGAGAAGGGTTGGGCTGACTCTGTCAGTTTGGCATCACAGACCTTTGGCATCAGAGAACCAGCTTTTCTGGGAAAACAGTGCAGATGAAGAAGTATGAGTTGGGAGTAAATCCCCTCTTTGTGGCACTGCTGTCGGGATTTCTTTCACTTAATTAACATTTTCACTGCAGAGTCCTGAGCCAACCAAACCCCTAAGGTAACTCCACTGATACCAGGTTAGTGGTACCTGCTGAATTTGGTCCCCTGTCTCTAAATCAGATAGAGGGGTTTGGCTGGTCCTCCAGTTTGCAGAGACACTGTCAGTCCTTGTCTCTGCATGGGAAGGAGGGCACTGATTGCTGGGATTCAAAAACTGCCTTGGATACAGGACACCAACCCACAGCACTGATAGCAGGTGCTGGATTTCACAATCTTGTCTGTGGTTTGAGAAGTCATTATCTGCATTCTACAGGTATCTCCTTATCACATTAACTACCCTGAGGCCATGCCTCTGCATTTTTGAGGGGAATGATACACAGCAATCTAAATGCAAAGTAGAGATGGTTTATCACTCTGCAGCACAGACACAAGGTCCTGCTTGCAGCCCCTAAAAGAAGGCTGTAAGGTTTATTATTACTGCACTGTTTGGTGTACTCAAGGACAAGTACATTTTTCCTAAGCCAAGGGATTTGTGGTACGTGTTACAGGTGAGAGAAAAGTTCAGAAAACTGCATACTGAATTTAAAACCAGAGTTTCTAAGCAGGAAGCTGTTAAATATGCAGAATGGGAAATCTGGCAGTAAAGCAGGGTGTGTTTGGTGTGAGAGTGGAAGCTTTGCAGGGCAGCTCCCATTGGGTGCTGTGCACTTTGCAGTAGCAGTGGAGACTCTGCTTAATTTGATTTCTTGTTGCTGCTGGCTTGCTGTGTTTTACAGGGGTGCCTTGTGGCATGGCAGTGGATGTAGCTTTGAACAAACAGCTGGAGCTCCCTGCCTTGGTTTCCCCAGGGGCACAATGGGCATAATATTTCCACTCATATTTGCAGGGCTGTCCTGAGGCATCACGAGTGAAGGTTTGAAAAGCACAGTGTCTACACTAAGTACAACTACTGTCAGTATCTAAAATGTGTATCTGTTTGTACTTATCCTTTGTTCCATTCTCCAAAACATTTGAACTGTCAGATCTACATGATCAGTCCTGAGTCTCAGATAAGCATTTGAGATAAGCACTCTCCTTTGTTTCCCTTTTCTTTCTCTCCTTTTCCCAAACACATTCCTTTTAATTCTTAATTTGGGGTTAAAGTCCAAAGAGCTAAATACTGAGCATTGGAAAGCAAATGAAATTTGCTGTCGGGTTCTTGCTGCCTCCTGGTGGAGAATTAACAATCATTCCATTGAGGCTGGTTTTGGGATGAGTTATGTCAAAAACAAGCTTATGAAAACATTTTGGGAGTATAATTTTTAAAATGTGCGTTTCAGGACAAGGTTTGGAATGCATTGAGGTGATCTTGAAAATGAAGCCTTGGGTTGTTTCCTTGCATTGATGAAAACTATGTGTTCACACTTTCTTCTGTCCATGCTGGACCCTGAATAATATGAACTGGTGAAGAGGTGCAGGTCCCCTGCTTGAGCTTGTTCATGGTCTTTGGAGTGAAATCCTGGAGCAGATACAGCAGGGGCTGCTGATATCCAGGCATGATTTCATCTCTGAGTCAGTTTAATTCCTAGAAGCAGATTGGAAAGTGAGCAAAATGTTTATGGCCTGTGCTCTGCTCTGCCAGATTCCCAGTGGTGTAGCACAGGCTGAGACCAACTGGGATTCCACTGATGTGGTTTTCTCTTCTCTCTCTGACACATGCAGGCTTTGTGTGTGAACTGGTCAAACCTCAAACTGCCCTGGGTGGATCTAGACTGGCTGATCGATATCTCCTGTCAGATAACTGAGCTGGATCTCTCTGCCAACTGCCTGGTGTCCCTCCCCTCCGTGATCCCATGGGGGCTGATCAACCTGAGGAAGCTCAGCCTGGCTGACAACCAGCTGACAGAGTTACCCAGTGTGCAGTCCTCTGATGAGATCATTTGTACAAGGTGTGTGCTCCCCACAAAGCTGAGCCTGCAGGGAGAGCAGCTCAAACTGGGCTGAAGGGAACTGTTAGGGGAGAGCACATTGCAGGAGCTTCTTGGTCTTTGCCCCTCTTCATTCTCAGGGTTTCCAAATTTGTTGTCAGGACAGTTGTGAGAACTTTTATTGCTGTGCTGTCTCATGTTGCCTCTGCTTTTCTCCAGCTCTGGTGAGCCCCATTCCTCTAAGCTGGCTCAGAGTGATATTTACTGGCTGAGACCAATTATTTGAATTGCTGTCTATCCAGAGCACCTCTCCCTGCTCCCTGGAAGGGTTAATTTTCTAATTAGGGTTTTATGCTTTGCCTTGTGAGGCACACTTCAGCTGCTTTCATTCAGAACTGAAACTGTCCTGGTAAAACAGATGTCTGTGGCAACAGGAGGCTTTGCTAGTGTTTCACTGATGCCTGACTGAGATTGTTCTGTACTCACAGGTTACTCGAGGTTGATGTATCCAGCAACAGGCTCTCCACTCTCCCTACTGGATTCCTACATCTTAAAAACCTTAAAAAACTCATTGCTTCCAAAAACTCTCTGGAGAAGTTGTTTGACGAGGAAAACAGTACGTACAGTCCAGTGCTGGGCTTGTATTTCAAGGCTGGGCTCTAGGGAAGAACCCCTAAATGTTAAAATAATGGCTTAAATGGCTTTAAAAAGCTCTCATGCTTATACCAAGGCCACAATGTTTCATGTTTTCCAGCAACTAATTGGATTGGTTTAAGGAAGCTGCAGGAGCTTGACGTCTCTGACAACAGGTTGGTGGAACTTCCAACGGTTTTTCTATACTGCTTCAAGTCCCTAAACATACTGAATGTTTCCAGAAATCAGCTGAAAGTGTTTCCAGACCCCTGGGCCTGCCCCCTGGTAAGTTGAACTGCTCTGACAAAGTCAGAGGTTGAAAAAACTGTTGAAACAATGCAAAAAAAAAATTGACTGTAATGCTTAAAAAGCTGTCAGATGCTTAAAAGGCTGTTCTGTAGGAGTGTCCTTGCCAAATTTGGTTTATGGGTTTTATATCCAGTCTTTCTGGGGTTCCACCCTGTTCTCACTATGTTGATGGCATTGGTGGTAAAGTTTTAGAAATGAGTCTTACATGGATGTGTTCATTTTCTCTGTGGTTCCTCTGTGCAGAAGTATTGTTAGGATCATTTTACAAAACACCCAACTTTCACCAGGGGTAACTTTGCCCAAACCCATGGCAAACTAGGACATCTGTATCCACACCCATCACTGTGACTTTATATCTCATTTTTACAGGGACAGCAGGGGAACAGTATCCTTTGGGGAAGTGTTTGTTTATGGTTGAAAAGCAAAGGGGGGTGGGTGATTTTCAAAATAATTTTTGGAATACTTTTTGCCCACCAAGGAATTTGACCAGCAGTTGAGTGGATCTCCTTAGCAAACCCTATGTGCCTGCATGGCCAATAATTTATCTAGATCAAGGTATCTAAAGAGACCACCTAGAATTAATTTATTAAAGCTTTTGACACGTGACAGCTGATCTACCACATTATTTAAAGAGATGATTACTGCTCTGTAAGTGTGGGGCTTTTTATGTTTTCCAGAAATGTTGTAAAGCCTCTAGAAACGCACTGGAATTCCTACCTGATGCATTGACTGTGTTCTGGAAAAATCACCTGAGAGAAGTGGATTTTTCTGAGAATTCACTGAAAGAAGTTCCAACAGGACTCTTCCAGCTTGAGGTAAGTGTCATTTCTTCCCAGTTCTCACATTATTTTTCCTAACTCTGACTCAGACCTCAGACTGGCTGCCCGGGCAAGGTCGGAGCCCTCGTGCTGGTTTGAGCTGGTGCAGTTGCACAGAGCCCCTGAGCAGGCTGTCACCCCCTGAATCAGCACATTCAGGCCCTCACCCAGTGAGATGTATCTAGTTTCTGGCACAGGTCTTCTGAGAACTCTCTGGATGTCTGTGGTTTGCAGAATTTGGGAGCACAGTTTGGAAGACAAGCCCTGCATTGTAGCTCCAAGCTCCAGCCATTGAAATATTGATGTAATCAAGTACACTCACAAATAGTTGTGCTTTTTCTTGAAAAAAAGAGTTGTGTAATTAGGAGTTAGTCTTTCTGTGATGAAAATAGCATGTTTCAATGCCCTAAACAGTGCTACCTGGGACCTCTGTAATCTTAAAGGTTGTAGATTAAATAATTCTTTCCTGTGGACACCACAGATCCATGGGTTTATGTCAAAATTCTTCAGAATTTCTGCTTTCATATGGTGTTGACACGAAACCAAGCAGAACTTGGGGTTTCCTCCAAGCTTCCCTGCAAGATTGTGAAACTCAGAGAAAAACAGAGAAACAGAGGTGAATCTGGGCAGAAGTTCCATGCTTTTCCCTGCTGGCCTCTTGGGGAAAGATGCAGAAGTGATGGTTCATTTCCATGTCCTGTCCTGATCTCAGGATGTGCTGCAAAGGTGATTTTTCCTCCTGCTGGAACAAGAGGGTTGAATTCCCTCAGTTCTTTCCAGTCATCCCAGCACATTTGGCTTTGCTCTCTGGTGGCTGTTTGTTTCCAGTTGGCATTTCTCCTGAAACAGAATGAATCCTATGGACTATTGTCTCCAAAACTTGGTTTTTCTGAATGCATTGAGAGCCATCCCAGGGGGTGGGAGCCAGCATGGCAGATATTAAACACTAGATGGTGCTTCCAGGGCACAGTTCTTAGGTGCTGCTGCTCAGAGGGTGCAAAGGGAGAGACCTCAGCACAAACTTTGCTGATGTTTTCAAAGTTAGTGAGCCTTGGCTGCCCTAATTAGTGTCAGCTCTTATCTGTATCTCTTCAGCATTTTATTCATAAAAGAAATAAATATAAAATATTTTCAGTGCCCTGAGGGCCAGAGTGTGGTGAGCAAATAGAAGGTAAAACCCCATGCCTGGAGGAGCCCTGGCTTGGGCTATTCCTTGATTGTAGAGTTGGTGTGGGTGAACAGGGCTGTGCTCATGCTCCAGCCCTCTCCAGAAGCAGATGTGGGAAGGGGGAGAAATGGGAAGTGAAGTGTTCCTACAGATAATGTATTATTTTTATGTAGGAACAGCAGTGGACTGTTTTCTCCCTGGGAAAAGCAGAGAGCAGAGGAGGCCTGTGACTTGAAAGCACATGTCATAGGACAGCCATTTGTCACTGTAGCTGCAGTGCAGTGTAGTTTATCACTGGCCTTTGCATGGTTTGCAGAGGAATCTCAAGACTGGGACCAGCTCAGTCCTTAATAATACCATGTGTACTCCAGAAATGTGGTGTTGAGAGAAACAGGAACCTCCTCAGCTTTCCTGGCTGCTGCCTTCTAAAGGAACCAACCAAGCCATGTCTTAATTCTCTAGACTACTTGGCTTCTCCCTGCTTTGCTTCTCCTGGAGACACCTGGCCCCCTCTGGATGGAATAATTCAGTTTAGACTCTGGTCAGCTTTTCCACATCATGACCTTGACTGAGGCACCTTAATCTGATGCTGCAGTCCCTTCACTCAGGTGTCATTTCACACCCTTTTGCATGCTGTGGCAGCAGCTTTGGAGGCAGTTTGTCTTCCACTGCCATTGTGTCCCTTCTGGAGGCCCCCATTCTCACACTGAAAGGCAGTAAAAATGGAGAAGTTAGAGACAAGAGGCAATTTTAAAGGACTAGAGGTCTCCAGAGTTTCAGTCATGAAGAACCACAGCCAGCTGGCAGTCACTGATTTCCCCCATGCACAGAACCACTGGAGAGAAGCTGCCCAGGCTCTCAGCTCCCTGGAGAGTGGCCTTGGTCAGTGTTTGGGGGATACAAAGTGACTGAAAAAGAATCACCCCAGTTAGAGCCCCTAGAGCACAGTTTGTGCTAATTCTGGGATGTGCAGCCTCCCTCTGCTCCCTCCCCCTGCCCAGGGGTGTTTTGGGGAGAAGTCTGAGGCATTGTCCTTGCACAGCCCCATGCTGACATTGGAGAGAGCCCCACACCAGGAGCCAGGGGCAGGCTGGGCCCTCCTCCCAGGGGAGCATGAATGATGGTAAAAGCATTTTCTGTCAGTTTTCAGTTCTCAGTTTTCCAGTTTTCCCTTTCCTTGGGTGGCTCACTCTGTCTGCAGTTCTGTATTCCCTTCACCTTCCCCAAATCCCAGCAGAGCCCAGCTCTGCCCCTCTCCATCACTAGAGGGAGCGTTTTGCACGGTAATTCCCGTTCCAGCCACTGCTGCTTGTCCATCACTTATGTCACATGGACACCTCATATTTTTCCAATCTAAAAAAGGGGAGGAAGGCCAACAAACTGCTTTGTGAGACCCCGTTAATCCTGCTTGATGAAAAGGGGCATAAACCTTTTTTATTAACGTGGAGCACATAAAACATTTAATACACTTGACACTGAAGTCTCTGCTGGTAAAACATGATTTCCATGGGGTATAATTCATTAATATTGCTGTACTTCTGGCAGGAGATAATTCAGCTGACATTCTGCTTTATCTCAGTTTTTCATGGTGGGGGGACTTGCTGAATAAACCTGGTTGGAAACTCTACAGACAGCACTGTTTTTCAGTGGAAAATTGGATTTTCAGCCAAATGAAAATGATCATTTGAGCCTCAACATTATTAAGGGCAGATGGAGGAGCACAAACTTTACAAAGTTGAATGGGAACTGCATTTTTTCTTTTATATTTCAGTTAAATTCAAAGGAGATCTTATGTTTAGCTTGGTATTTCCAGCTGAGTCCTATCTGTGTGGTGTTAACTGCATCACAATCAGTTTCACTTGTTTTTAAAATTCCTGTTTCTGCTGGGAGGGGGGAAAAACCAAGGAGATGTGTAACTTGTATAAATCACAGAAAGTGAATACAAATCCTGTCCATTTTAATAGAGATGTCATAAAAAAAGCAATCAAAACTTTTCCTTGTGTGAAGTGGCTCATGTTTTGCACCTTGATTTTGTGCATGCACTGCAGGTGTAAGCCCACTTTGTGCAGACACACAGTTATTACATATACAGTCCATACGTGGCATCCTGTGTTGGTAAATCAGACTGCTCTTTCCCACTTGGAAAGGTTTCCTCACTAAGAAGTAAGATGTCCTCTTGCATGGGCTGTTTCCAAGTGCATCTGTCAGCAAGTGGAGCAATAATCTCCCTGGAGTGAGTGGTGCTGCTCCGTGCAGAACTTGCTGGGGACAGGGAGGAAATGTTTGCATGCTGGGCAGCACGGACAGGATGTTCTGATGAATAAGATGTACTTTCTTCGTGTTTCTGTTATTTAATAGCCACGCTTAAAAAGCTCCTTCTGTGTGTTTGGTGCTCCCTAACTCCAGGCTGTTCCTCTCCTAGGCTTTGGTGTCCCTGAAGCTGCTGGGAAATCAGTTAGTTATGTTGCCTTCACAGGATAAGTGGAACTGCAAACAACTTAAGTCGCTGGATCTTTCAAAAAACCAGCTTGGGAAGTAAGTGTTGCTTTCAAGTTTTGGCTAAGAAAACAAAAGCTGAAGAAATAATAGCAAACCCAATGCCTCATGTAACACAAAGGATGTCAGGAGAGAATTAATCACCTGCATAGAAGGCATTGATACCCACATACCATGTCCCCAAGTACATTGTGTGTCTGTGACAGTGACGAATTATCCTTTGCTAAATTCTTTGGGCATTTAGCACACTGTATCATTTATTAAGTGGATAGATTATTGATAATGGCAGTTTAATTTCTGAGCATGTAGGAATTTCTTCAGCCCACTGTGTGGTTCATCACTACAAATACAAGTTTGTGGGGAGCATATCTTAACCATAAACCATCTGGCTGGACTGCAGTTATTAGTTAGTGTGGGAGTATTGTTATGGAAAAAATGAAAAGTCTTTGTTTTTTAAATGGAAGTATAACCAGCTGCCAGTTCGTAGAGATTTCCAGCCTAAAGGATTCTGTGATTCTAAGGCTGATGTTAATAAGATCATCCAATAAATGAGTGATGTTCTTCTGTTTAGAAATTCCAATAGAGATGTTTAACATAGAAAGTTAAAGGTCCTTTATCATCTCCAAAATTGCACAGAATTGTGTCGTGCTATCTTCTCATTTGGGTGCCTGTCCAACACAGTTTTTGGAGTCCTTAGGAGTTTCTGTGTCAGTTGCAAAAGACAGATTACCACTTTTTGAATGTCCCAGTGCATTTCCAGAGTCATGCTGGTGGGTCATCTTCTCTGAGCCTCCCTAGGGAGGGCGGGCAGTGGCAGCAGGTCGGTTCTCCAGCACTTCTGGTGAAACTCCTTCAATCTGCTGTTTGACAACCACTTAACCCTGACACCCATAAAGCCAGGGGTCAAGTGCTCCTGCCCTGGGAGCTGGGAGAGCTGCTTGAGGAGCTCTGTTGATTTGCCAGGAGAAAACCACTGGGCTGGACAAGTGTTGGTGGAGTCTGATTGCACAGCAGGTTTCACTCCCATCTCTCCAGAGCAGGTGGGATCCTGTGAGTGCATGGTCAGCTCTTCCCCATGTAGCTCAGCAGCTTTCCAAGATCTTTTCCCCACGAGTCCCTGTTTTGTTTGGCCCACAGGAACGATGAGGGGTTTAAAACGAAGAGGATCCCCTTTTTCACCACCAAGAACAGGGTGCGTGGTGGCCCCGAGGCAGGTAAGGCACACAGCGAGTGCTGGCAATGCCAGGAGAGCTGGGAAGCAGCAGGAGTCTGCAGTTTGGCTGGAGGGAAAGCAGAGGAAATTCCTCTGCAATTTAAAGTGCAACTGCATTTCATTAAGAGGAAATATGTTCAGATAAAATGTTTCTAAAGAAATTATGCAGCTGGTTGGTACCACCAACATAGAAAGATGGTGTGAAACCTGTTTCTTTTGCTCTTTCGTGAAGGTTATGCCTTTTAGCCAGAGCATTAAGTGGCATGTTGAAGGGAAATTAACCCATAATTATCCCTGTGACTCTTAGGATTGTTTTGATTGCTGACTTTATAAATGGCACATTTTCCCCTGCCTGTGATTTGCACCCTCAGTTTGGGGCAGAGCTGATGAAATGCATGTGAAATCCCAGAGAGAACAAAGGGATATCTGAAGATACTGCACTGCTTCCTGCTCTCTGTGGGATTCATCTGCATTTCTTTTGTTTGTTGTTTTATTTTAAAGCACTTGGGGAGTTTTCTCATTCTGGCTGCCTGCAGAATGCCTGGCTCTAAGCATTCCTTGCCAGTCACAGAGTGGGACAGAGCCAGCATCACATCCCAGCAGCCCTGGACTGCTCGTGGCAGGAAGAGGCCCTCCTGCAGCAAATCCTTCCCTCAGTTCCCCTGAAAACTGTGCCTGAGGTGAAGTTGGTAAATGAACCATGTACAGCCATAGCTGTAGGTTAGGGCTGGAGATCCTCACCTCCAGCTGCTCCTCTAGGAGGCAGGAGCTCTACCTGGACCTGCAGGCCAGGCTGGTCCTGCCTCGTTTTCCTGGCCATGGCAGTGGAGGCTGCTGTGCTGGCTGAGGTGTGTGTGCCCCCCAGGGGGAGAGGAGGTTGGTCTGTGCTGTTTCACAGCAGGAAATGGAAATGGAAATGCTGTGACATTGTTGGACTACAGAACAACTGGAAAAGGAGTCTGAACCTTGTGGAGTCTGACATAGCCTCAGAGCTTTGCTGTAAAGTGCTGCAGCAGCATTTCCCAAAGGGGAGAGAAGGGCAGGAGCAGCAGGCAAAGGCAGCTACAACCAGTTCTAAAAGGGAATTGCTGTCCTAATGGAAATCTCTACATGCTGCAAACCCAGCATCACCCTCTGCAGAAAGCAGGAGAGGGTGAGCTCTGCAGCAGTGACATTTGAACAGCCACTTTGCACCCTGGTGCGACCTGGAGCTGCCTCAGGTGGCCTCAGGTAGCAGGGGGCACAGAGCAGCCCACCTGGCTGGTGCCACGGGTGAGCAGCCACAGAGACAGAGCAGAGGCAGCTCATCCTTTTCTCTCTGTTCCTCTGCCAAGTGTAGCTTGGTGAGACGAGAGGATGAGGCCAAGAATTTAAACATCAAGAGAAAACAGAAGCTGGAGTACATCAGCTGCTCACAGAAGTCTCCTGGTGAGGTGGGGGTGGACAGGTTTTCATATGATTTACCAACAAAGCTGTTTACTTAAGTCTAGGTTATTTAAAGAGAATAATTTATGGTGCTCACTATACTTGATTGATAAGTCTCAGAATAACTTCTTGCACATGCATGTGTGGTGTTGGTAGCGTTTATTCATCCAAAAATACATTTTCAAGATGGGATTTGTTTTAATTTTTCTACAGTTCTTTAAAAGAAAATTTGAGACGAAGCCAGAGAAATCATAAATAACTCATGAATAAATAATTACAATTCATAAACACCTCAAGCTTGCTTCCAATATAGTACACTCCTTTCCACCTGGGACTCCTTGGTGAATTCAGAGTATTGCTGCTATTTTAGGAGTTTGCTCCTACGTGTCCAAGAGGGACTAAATCTGTCTGTGCCCAGGTACCTACTGAAGAGCAACAATGTAAAGTTCAGCAATGAGCCAGAAAGGAAGTGAATTGCATCCCTGAATAAGCCTGCTGTTCTCCTAAAATAATCTCAAAGATGATTTTTTCAATTTGAAGACTCAAAAGGCAGACTGTGACACTGCCCACACCAGACAGTCCTGTCACGTATATGAAACACCCCTGCAGATAGTGGGACTCCATCTTGCTCCTTTTCTGATCACAGCTCGGGCTGCAAGTGCTGTTAATATTAGAACTGGGGAGTTTTCTCCTGAGAAAACCTCTTCCAGTTTTTTTTCCTCTTTTTGACTGAGTATAGTTACAGTTCCTCACGTCTTCTCTGTAAAGGAAGATCTTGGTGGAAGTGGAACTGTCCCATCCCTCAGGAAGGGACAGTCTTGCATCTCAGGGGGTTGCTTTGATTGACCATAGAGGCAGCAGATGGTGCTGGTTGTACTTTCCTATTGAGACTCCAAACCTGCCTGGTTTTCCTTCATTTCAGGATGCTCTTTGGGAGATAAATGTCAAACCTCAATACAGCAACACAATCCATGGCAGTTTTTGTGCCGCTATCCCAGATGCTATTTCTGGAGTGAAATGGTGCTCTTTGGGACCTAAAGAGCTTTCCTTTCTTTGAACCTCTCCAGCAACAGCAACTCAGCCATGCAGTTGATGGTCCTGCTGCTTGGGTTGCTCCCAAAATACCCAAGATGCTCCTCAGGCATGGAGGAAGTTCCCTGAGTCCTTCTCTAAAACAGAACAGAGGAGTAAACACCAGCATGTTTTGGAGACAGCATAGGTCAATCTCTCAGCTCCAGTTTGGGTTTTCTTCTCTGTTGTTACTGACTTTGATCCACCATCAGTTACTGTGGGATGCAACATGGGGGCCTGAACATGAATTCTGACTGGCTTTTCTCAGATAATATGGAAAAAACACATTGAGAACCAGCTGTGCCCTGGGTGTGCCCTATCAGTGCCATGTTAAGAACCAGTTGTACCCGTGGGATGCCCTCTCAGTGCCAGCTGTCAGGCTGCAATAGGGGCAGTTCACAAGATATTACCATGTATTCAAGAGCAGGAGACAATGTGCCACTCATCCCCTGAGCTGTTTTGGCAGGCTTGGAGTTCCTCCCTCAGCACCCCATAAGTCCTGGACACTGTCACCTTCCAGCACTGTGACTTTAGGGCATTGAGATGTGAACATTGATGTTTGATTGTCACTGAAGGCCATTTGCTTTTCTGCTCTTGCTTGGTGCTGGCCCCTGCCAATGGACATGACCTCATGTCCTGCCTGCAAAGTTCAGGTGAAGCTCTTGGTTCAGAGCCTTGATGCCTGTTTTGTTGTTTCTTTTTTTAAAGGTGCATTTTGTGTTCTGTCTCGTTCCAGGTCCTTTTTTGGAGTTTCCAGCATTTCTGAGTGATTCTCTGGAGGTTCTTTATCTGAACGACAATCAGCTGGACTCTGTCCCTCAGTCCGTTTGCCTCCTGAAAGGTTTAACAGAGCTTTATTTAGGAAAGTAAGTCCGTGTCCTGGAAAAGCTTTGCAGTGTTATTTCCATGTTGTTTTAGTGACCAGTCTTCTGTGGAGCCCCACCCCAGATGTCCAGTGCTTTTGAAGTCAGAAAGCTGGAAATTGTCAGCCCCTTGTTAGAGCTGTGCCCATGGTTTGCTTTAGATAAGGAGGAGACTGGTCTTTTGAGTCAGGGAAGATGATCTAATGCTTTGAACACAGGCCTGGGAATCTAATGTGCCTCTAGTTCATTCTGGCTTTTTGCTGTCATTTTCTGTAGTGCTACATTCAATAACTCATCATTTTTGCCTTTATTTCCTCAACTATCCAGCAAAGATGATTACATTTGTCTGCCTCAGAGGATAAATTGAGGTTATACATCACTTTTAGGATGGAAATTGCTATTAAAGTGCTGAGTAGTCTTATTAAAATGTTAATGGAAGATTTCTGCAAGGGTAGAATAGCGTAATCTGAGAGTCCATGAGAGCAGCTACTTACACACAAAGCCTGGTTGTTGGTAGATTTATTTGTTTTTGTACAGTAACCCTGGTATCCGAGAGCTTCCTCCAGAACTTGGACAGCTGGCTAATCTCTGGCAGCTGGATATCGAGGAACTAAATATCAGTAACGTTCCTGCAGAGATCAGAAAAGAGGGTAAGGCTGATGCTGTGTATTCTTTATTAAATTGACTGAACATGCAATAAAATCTCTTCCTTTTAATGGTCAAGAGCAGGAACAGACAGTGACTGCCTGAGCCCTCGTGGGGTTAACTGGAATTGCACAGGGAAACTTCCTACTCCTATTTACAAATTTGATAATCAGCGCTAAGCTCTGGCTGTAATGATCAATTTAAAAGAGATCACAATTTAAAATGATGACTTATAAATGCAGTATTTCATTTGCAGTATGCATAAATTCTGTGGCTTGCTTCCTGAATGTGGATATTTTAGGATATTTAGATGGTCTCTCTAAAGACTGAAGTGTTTAGGATCAGCAGTCACAGACAGTCCCATTGAAGTGACTTTATTGTGAGCTGCTAGGTTTTTGGATCCATTACAATGCTGTCTTTTTTTTTTTTTTTTTTTTTTTTTTTTTTTTTTTTTTTTCATTTTAATCAGAAAATCCTGTGGGAACAAAGTTATTAGGAATTATTCCTGCTCCAGCAGTATACTGTTGAAACCTCAATCTCACTTTAACTGGAAGCATAAAAGCAGAGGGAAAAACTGAGTATTTTTCCAATACTGAATTAGTATTTTATGTTTCCTTTCAGCTTCTGAAGCATAGGAGCCCCAGCATTTGTTTCTCCTTACAGTGCTCCATTGTGGAGCCTCCGAGCAGTGACCTTTTCCTGGGGTCTCTGTCTCAGGTTTGTCCGCTGGAGGTTTCTTTGTTTATTCTCAGCCCACAGCCAGGCTGCAGGGCAAGCAGGAGTTCCCAGCCATGGGATGTGTGTGTGCAGAGTGGGGTTTGTGCTGTCCCTGGGTGCTGCTGGCTGCAGTGCCCACCCTGTTCTGTCCTGCTCCCAGGCCCCAAGACGGTGCTGGCGTATTTACGAGCGCAGCTGCGGCGGGCAGAGAAGTGCAAGCTGATGAAGATGATTGTCATCGGGCCCCCCCGGCAGGGCAAGTCCACGCTGGTGGAGATCCTGCAGACAGGGAAGGTGCCCCAGATGATGCACAGCGAGGCCACCATCCGCACAACCAAGTGGGAGCTGCCCAAGCCCGTGGGGCACAAGGCGAAGGTGAAAAGCGGTCGGAGATCTGCAGGACCAGTGGGATGTGGGAGCCCTGCAGGGTCCTGTGGGCTGAAATTTGAAATTGTCCTTTTGCAAAGAGCAGTTTGCATTGCCTTACAAGTGGGATGTGGTTTTAGACCCATTGCAATTCTTTCATTTCCAGAACTAGAGGGCAGTTCTGTTTTCCTGACTGTATTCTAAAGAGTGTTGGCTAGGCTGAAATTCTGGCTCTCCCACCTCAGTGGACACTAATTTTGAGAGAGTGCTTTAAATCAGCTTCTCTGCAGCAGATTGGGTTTTCATTTGGGACATCAGTACCTAAAGCTGGACTTCCTTGATACCAGACCTGTCCTGGGTGGGGCATGTGGGTGGAAGGTGTGATCCAGAGATGTGTAAGGCATATCTTAAACACCCAAATCTCAGATGGCTCATCCATGGAGGGTGTCACACTAAAGTAATTTGGAGAGTGCTGATTTAATCCAAGCATTTGTAGGTGGTCCTGTCCGCTGCCTGCAGAGTAGCCTAGGGAACAGAGGATGCAGAATTTGTCCTGAAGTCTTGTCAGAGCTGAGGGGGTGCAAACACATCACTCCCCCTTCCCAGATGAGAGCCATGACCACCAGACTGTTTTGGAAAGGGGAAAGAAGCCTGCTGAGTTCAGCTGTTCCACAACAAAGAGTGCCAGGCCAGAGACAGAAAGAAAAGAGCAACACAGGCTGACTCCTTGAAGGGTAGACTTTGGTGGGAGAAGGGATTTGTGCATTTTGTGTTGAAGAGCAATTGAATAAAATAAAAGTGTAGACAGCACCAGGGACCTGAAGTGGAATCAAAACAATGAATAGGCTTTTATCTCCATCTCTGAGTCTGTCTGTCCACACACACATTCCCAGCTGAAGGTCTTCTGGATGAACAAAGCAGTCCTTGTGCTGGTTAGGGCTTGGTTTCAACAATTGGAAGTTCTTCCAGCTGTTTTTGGGAGACTTCACACGGATTGCACAGAATCAGAGCCTGCTGAGATGCTGAGCTCCTGGCTGAACTCTGATAGGGTAACTTCCACATGGGATCAGTCAGTACCTGGCCCCAGCCCCCTAAACAGAGCCCACTGGGTGTTATGTGATGCTCTGAGGATGGTGGCTTCCTCTGAGGAGGAAGGTCTGGTTTTGTGTTCAGTCTCAGGTTTTTTGACTCTCCAGGGCCAAGTGATTTAGGGACAGATCTTCCCAGGTTTGCTGGTACTTCCTGCTGCAACTGAGAGCCTGAATGCCATTGAAGCAGAGAGCCAGGCTCCCTCTTAGTGCTGTCATGGGCCTGCACAGAGGAATGGATGCAGGGATACTGGGAAGAGAGCCAGAACTGGAGAGGCCTCCATTTAAGCATTCCCCCAGAAATCAGTAAGTCTGATTCACAGCAATTGTGATTCTGGCCCATCTCTGGCGTGGCACAGGCGTCAGAAGCCTGGGAGCAAAGTGTAGGAGGTGTTTATGGAAGCCTGAGAAGCTTCCCATCTCCTGAGCATCTCCCTTCTGCTTGGCTCAGCTCAGTCTGAGCTCAGTGGAAGTGATTTCAGCAGGGGTTTCCTGTTCCCCACAGCAGAGGCAGATAAGCAGCTTCAATGGTCTTGTGGCACAGGCAAGGATGAAACAGTTTCTATTACAGATGCAGTGAAATGCAGGGCTCAGAATGAGACCCTTGTTTGGACTGGAGAATCCACAGCATTAACTGGAGTTTTACCAGCATCAAGGGCACCTCTATCGTTTTAGCAGCAAGTAATTAGTCTTGATTTCCTGTGGGGAAGTGGTAGCCATGCTTAACAATTGCTTGTTGATTTATCTTTCCTGGAGGCACAATTAGGACATTGAACCCCTTCTTGTGTCATACATTATGCAGGCGTAGGTTTATACTTCAGCTATTATCTCCCAGTGATTTACTGCCACGGTTTGATTTGAACACTTCTCTTTGTCTAAGTAGGTTGATTCAGTGGAGTTCAATGTCTGGGATATCGGAGGCCCAGCGAGCATGTCTACAGTCAATCAGTGTTTCTTCACAGACAAAGCATTGTACATAGTGGTCTGGAACTTGGCACTGGGGGAAGAAGCTGTGGCAAACTTACAGTTCTGGTTGCTGAACATTGAGGTAAGAAGTCACTGGTGGGCTCTGGGATATCTATTTATCAAGCAGCAGCTCAGCACGCAGATATGTGATATTGCAGATTCTTTTTGCTCTGCTTTTAAAAGCTCCCCAAGCTATGAATTTTGCACAGCATTTGGGATTCATTTTCCATTACGCTGTAGGCGTATCGCTCTATATTTAATGGTTTAAATTTATCATTTGCTTTGTTCTCCCTCACACACAGCAGAGAGCGAAACAAAAGCTGATTTATAAACCCTTGCTAAGTAAGGCTGAACATACTTATTTTGGAATTAGTGTTTGACCACACTGTGCTCCAAGGGGGGTTTGAAGCATTTTCTTTCTTCTGTGGGTTAGACACACATTAGTCTTGAGGTTATATTTTTAACACTTTAGATTCAGGTAAGATGGAGAGTATTTCCAAACCAGCTCTCATTTAGACTCAGAGCTGCAGTGAATTCGTTGCATTTTTCCAACACCATGTTCATAATTGTCTGTAACTCTTTATTATTTTATAATTGTTTTAACATTAAATGCACAAAAATGGGTGCCTCTTGAAAAGCAAACATCTTGTAATTATCGAAATATTAATGGGCACAGCAATCAAAAACCCAAACTAGGTAACAAAGCTGAAAGGAAAATTATTAGATTTCCAAAATGTCTGATGTATCCTTAATACATCCCAGCAAGCACACAGTAACATCAGGAAAAATGCAGAGAAATGTGATCGTGATGGTTAAAAAAAGGGGAAATGAAGAGTGCTGTGTCTAAAAAGGAGAAAACCACAAGAGAGTCTTTGTTCATGACCCTTTACAATAGAATTGGGAGAGAAGAAGTGAAATTGTAGCTTTGAAGCACACAATGGGAAGTATCTTAAACACACTGGATGCCTAACCTGTGGAGTTTACTGGAAATAAAGTGTACTGGGGGTACCAGAAATTGGAAAGACAAACTGGTGAATGCAAACTCCATCAAATGCTGTTAATTCTGAGATACTCCCTTGTGCTGAGGAAGTCAGTGAGCTGCAGACTGCTGGGTACTGGGAGAACACACCAGGGAGTTCTCTCCATGTACCTTCAGTGAGAAAGTGTGTGTGACTTCCCCAGGTATCCATTCCAGATTATCCTTGTTCAGGATGTCAGATCTTCTGGCTGCAGGTTAAGTTAACTTTGTCTGGGCAGACATGGTTCCCTTCATTTCACTGACTTAGAGCAACTCCTTTTATGTTAAACCCTGATGTAAAAACACAAAGTGACAGTTTCCTGCTCTGCAGTAGCAGCAGATGATTAAGCCATGCTCTGCAGAGCTTCTGTGATGCCCAGATCACCTGCAGCAGTTGTCAAGCTGCCACAATATGTTGCCTTTATTTTATAAATATATATATAGGTATTCCATTTTATTGATATGTGTGACTCCCTCCTCTTAAATACTACACTTTTCATCTGTCCTCCCTGATGTAATCTGGATGAGATCACTGCCACTGTTTTCTCTTGCAGGCCAAGGCTCCAAACTCAGTGGTGTTGGTGGTAGGAACACACCTTGATTTGATTGAGACGAAATTCCGTGTGGAGAGGATAGCAACCCTGAGGGCCTATGTCCTGGCTCTGTGTCGCTCTCCCTCTGGATCCAGAGCAACTGGCTTCCCAGATATCACCTTCAAGCACCTGCAGTGAGTCCTTGTGCCTTTGTGAAGTTCAGTCACTCACTCTTTATTTTATGACACTTTTAACAATTTTGAGATACTTGATCTCCTTGGCAACGGAACCAATTTAGAGGCTCGTCAGCATTGCATTTCATCTATTTTTGACTGAGATAATGTATTATAATGAGAGAGAAGGTCAGTGTTGCTCAGGGGGCTGATGATGAGTCTGAGAGCTAGAAGCTCCAAAGTCATGACCTTGACCAGCCTGTTTACTGCTCCCCCTTCACTCAGGTTTCTCACTGTTTGATGGTGACACATTAGTCACAAGGGGAGAAGGTGCAGATTGACTAATTAATGCTGTGGGAGCGTGACTGTCACAGGGGGGTGCCAGGGGCTTTGCTGAGGGGAGGCTGTGGGTGGTACCTGACGTGGGAACATGGCTCACGCGGCTGGGCAAGGAGGGGTCAGTCCCCTGAGCCTCTGGCAGTCCAAACCTGTCCCATGCATCTCCAGGTGTCACAACAGGGGGCTGGGGCTGCCTGGGAGGGGGGTGTCCCTCAGGCCACGCAGTCTGACACTGCTCCAAGAGAATGCCCTTGGGAAGAGGAGGCTGCTCCAGCTGGGAACGGAGCGTGCTGTGAGCCAGGGGGTGCAGCAGGCTGGCACCAAACAACGTGAAAATATCTGCCTGGGGCAGGAGCAGGTGGCAGCTGGCAAATGAGGAAGGGCACTGTGATGTCCCCAACACTTCCCATCTGCTGCCTGGCGAAGGCATCAGCTGACCTCCCACACACTGCTCTGCAGGCACTGTCAGGCATCCCAGCCCGTGTCAGGCATCCCAGGCACTGCCAGGCATCCCAGTCCATGTCAGGCATCCCAGCCCATGTCAGGCATCCCAGCCTGTGTCAGGCATCCCAGCCCATGTCAGGCATCCCAGGCACTGCCAGGCATCCCAGCCCATGTCAGGCATCCCAGCCCATGTCAGGCATCCCAGCCACTGCCAGGCATCCCAGTCCATGTCAGGCATCCCAGTCCATGTCAGGCATCCCTGTCCATGTCAGGCATCCCAGCCCATGTCAGGCATCCCAGCCCATGTCAGGCATCCCAGCCCATGTCAGGCATCCCAGCCCATGTCAGGCATCCCAGCCCATGTCAGGCATCCCAGTCCATGTCAGGCATCCCTGTCCATGTCAGGCATCCCAGTCCATGTCAGGCATCCCAGTCCATGTCAGGCATCCCAGCCACTGTCAGGCATCCCAGTCCATGTCAGGCATCCCTGTCCATGTCAGGCATCCCAGGCACTGCCAGGCATCCCAGCCCATGTCAGGCATCCCAGCCCATGTCAGGCATCCCAGCCACTGTCAGGCATCCCAGCCCATGTCAGGCATCCCAGGCCATGTCAGGCATCCCAGCCAGCTCTTCCCCATTAGAAGAAGCACCAGGGACCCACTGTGAGGCTCAGACTCACCATGAGAAGGAGAAAACTTTGTTTGTGTCACCTCAAGCCTCTTTTGCCATCACCTCCAAGCATCACAACATAATCTCTGTCATTCTTTCTCAAGGGGACTTTCTTTCACCCTGACAGGCATCCTGAACATTTCTCTTCACCTTCCTTTCCCCTTGCATTTCTTACCAGCCTCTTTCCTCCTGTGCCTCTCCACACTCCATCATCCACCTGGAATAAGCATGGTATTAAGCTCTGGGGCTGGAGGAGTGTGAAATCACTGTGTGGGTGACCCTGGGTGCTTCTGTCATGGTCAGGGTCATCAAGCATCCCAGTGAGTTGCACACTTCCCAGTGCCATGCAGGGCTGAGGTTTAAGATGAAGCATATTTTCATTAGAGAAGGGTTTTCTGTCTGCCATGGGAACATGTGTAGGATCAGTTAGAAAGACCCTTTGTTGGGGAAAGTGGAACAGAACTGTTCTTATCCAGCCCACAAAGAGATTAAAACTAGTAGGAGTTGAAGAGGGCAGGTTTTTAGCTGTTGAAGAGATAATGAAGGCCAGCTTTTAGGATCTAAGCATCAATTCCCAGATTGCAGGATCCAGCTGATCAAGGGCCGGAATGAGGGTGGAAAAGGTGTCTGGTAGTCATCATTCTGCCTCTTTGATCTGGGCAGGGAGGACTGGACCTGTCTCCAGAGGCTGCTGGGGCACAGAGTTCTCATCCTCCCCACAGCCCCTTCCAGGATGTGTGTGGCTCTGGAGGGACAGAGGGGGATGACTTTGGTCAGGCTGCCAGGGATGTCCCCAGACATCCCAGTGCACAGGGGACAGCAGTGCAGGCAGTGAAGCAGGCAGAGCAGAGGTTGGGCTAATACAGACGTGGCCTGATACATCTTTTCCAGGCAACTCTGTGTTGTCTCCAAAGTATTCTAAAAATACTCACTGACAGCCTTCCTCCCATTCAGCTGACACAGGAAATTTACAGTCAGTGATAAGAGAAAGTGAGGCTGGAAAGGAAGCCAGTGTGCTGATAAGGATTGATAACCTTCCCCCTTGAATGGCTTTTGCAGTGAGCTCTCGTGTAAGACTCTGGAAGGCCTCGAGGGACTGCGGCAGCTGATTTTTCACGTCACCTGCAACATGAAGGATGTTGGCAGCTCAATTTGCTCCCAGAAACTTGCAGGGAGATTGGTGAGAACTGGGCTGTCTTGGTGATCCTTGCCAAAGCAGGGCTTTTGGGAGGCTTGGGAGGTCACCTTTAGGAGTTACTGGAGTAAGGGGTTGGTGCAGGAGCCATGTGAATATTTAAGATGGCAATCTGGCTCTGGGAAAAGACAGCACTGAAAAACCCCTGTGAAAGGAAGGTGGCAGCCAGTTCATCCCTTGCTGGCTGATCCTGATCCTGCTGGTTTTCTCACATGGCTTGCAGATACCAAGGAGTTACCTCAGCCTCCAAGAAGCTGTCCTTGCAGAACAGCATAGAAGAAGTCAAAATGATGATGTGCAGTATTTAACAGACAGACAAATAGAGCTGATGATCGAGCAGACACCTGGAAATGACATCAAAGACTATGAAGACTTGCAAACTGGTAGGTCAGAGCAGACCCGTCATTTCTTGGAAATTGATAGGTATGTCCAATTGAAATGTTCCACAAATAGTAAACACAAATTCCACCAGTGTAGAGGTGACTTTGGAAATTGGTAAAATATAAAATTAGTAGTGGGGCTTTGGGGACAGGACAAGGAATTTTCTAAGGTGGTTTGAGGTTACTGATTTCATTCTTTTTTTTTTTTTAACAAGCTGTGTCTCATTTCTAGTCTGTGTAGAGTGAAGGTTGCCATAGTTTCAAGTCTGGCTTCTCTGTAGGTCCCCAGTCTTGTGATCTTTATGGAGGCCTTGCTCTGCAGGAGGCAGGGAGAGCCCTTTCCCTGTGAAGATGACAGGAGGAGGGTGAAGGGGAGGTGTCATGGGGACAGAAGTACTGGCTGTGAAGAAGTGAGATGTGGGTTTTACAAGTGGAGTGTCAGATAGCAGCACTCCTCAGATAGATGTTACTCTCTTGGCTTGGCTGCGTGCTGGCTGTGTCTGGAATGCATAAAACTGCACAAAGTGCCTCATAGTCCTACTCTTCTGCACTTCTGTGGTTTCCTAATGCTGATCTATTGCTAATCCCCAATTCTTTACTTTTTTGCAGCCATTAATTTTCTCATAGAAACAGGGACACTACTGCACTTCCCAGACACGAGCCATGGCCTGAGGAACCTTTACTTCCTTGACCCTGTCTGGCTCTCAGAGTGTCTACAGAGGATTTTCAACATCAAGAGCTCCAAGTCTGTAGCTAAGAATGGAGTCATCAGAGCAGAGGACCTCAGGATGCTGCTGGTTGGGACGGGTTTCACCGAGCAGACTGAAGAGCAGTACTTCCAGTTCTTGGCCAAGTTTGAGATCGCCCTGCCTGTGGCCAATAACAGGTATGTTGATAACGAGAGAGATTTAGTCAGGCTGGAGAAAAATGACCTTTTAGTCAGTGGATATTAACAGACTTTGCCACTCCAAGTGGTTGTCTTGACAGGATTCTTGTGCTGAGAAAATATCTGAGAGCATTCAGCAGTGTCATGGAAGGCACCCATCCATTTGGGCTGTATTTCCTGAACTGAGCATCCTCTGGGCCAAACCAGCCTGTGTGAAAGCTTTCCCAGAGCAGTCTTTGTCCACTGGGTGCATTGAGGCTGTGACAGGCTCAGCCACCAGCCCGGAGGGGCAGTGACACCGCCGGGGCTGTGGCCATGAGCAGGTGGAAGCTGTAAGGGCTCAGCCGGCGCAGCTGCAGCTGGGAGAGGATGTGAGGCCACGGCTGCCAGGCCTGAAATATAGATGGGCTGGAGTCATCTGTTTCCAGTGAAGGATCCTCACTTCAGCACGGCAGAAAACTTTGGGTAATCAGTACTTGTGTCAGCCCTGAAAGTAGCAACATTTTATTCCTGGTGAAATCAGGAAAGCGTAGCTGCAGCAGCAACGTGATTTACTCGATTTTTAACTTCAATAGGTGTTGATCAATAGTTTTCCTAGAAATGGTCTAAGAAACCTCATTCTCTTTAAATGTTAATGAGTCCTCCTCCCCTCTGCCCCCCGGTCCCTTTTCCTCTGGGCAGAGTTCCCTGCGATTTTTCTCTCTGCCATCTGCTTGGCGACAGCCTGTTGTTGGGCTAGCGGTGAGCCCGGAGCTGTGCTGCACTTTTGATGTGGCATTTGCATTTCACTTCCTTGCCCTTGCAGGACAGCGCGGCCGCATCGCCCTGAGCCTCGGGGGAGCTCTCAATGCCAGCACAAGTGCAGCATTCTCTGTGCTGTCATTATGCCTGTCACTTATCCAGTCCCGGATGCCAACAAATTTTCTCAGGCTTAACACAGATAAAGCAGCAATGTTTCTGCTCAGTCCAAAATGCCTTTTGGACTCCTTGTCACTATCTGCCATTTTTCACCAGGGCAATTACATTGTCTGTGCCTCAGGAACAAGGAAACTGCTTTTTCATGGCCTGCCCAATGTTTTTCTGAGCGATCCAAGCCACATTAGCAGAATATTCTTCCCACTGACGGGCTGTAGCTATAGCAGGTTGGATTAATTTAATGTACTAGCCAGACACAGAGCAGTTATTTGTTACTGTGCTGCTGCAATTATTGTCTAGATTGCCAGATAGGATTTCTGTGCAGTCAGTAGAGAAAGCAGCTGCCAGTTTCTGTTCTGAAAGGGTGGATGGGGGCATGTTTCACATATTTTCAAAATTTGCATTGGCTGTTGTTCAAGAGCGTCGAATCACCATCTGTGTTATAATCCACTAGATAGTTGTGGCCCAGAAGGGCCTCACTGGCCCTTCTTACACTCCTAGACCTTTTCTTGGATGTGCTGTGGAAAATTTATTGCCTCTCTGATGATGCATCCACTACTTTTATAGAGCAAGAAGTTTTAGTTTGTTGCACTCTGCTTTTCTGCCTAAGGTGCACATAACTTAGCTGTGTTCTGCTTCTTAAAATACACTTACAAGCGTGACCATTCTTACTGGAATTTATAATTGAAACTTTTGCCAGTTTTACATTCCAAAGATGTTTCATGGAACAGATAATTTGATCATGTAATATGTCATCACGTGTGACATATGGAGAGAGCTGTTGTCTAATCATGGCCGTTTTTTTTCTGAGCTGATGTTTCAAATTGTACAGAATGCTGCAGCTGCTAGAGAGAAAATATGAGAGGCAGTGGATTCTTTAAAGCAGTGGATTCTGACCCAGCATTAGTTCTGGTTGTGTCTAGTCCCTGCCAGTGTTATTTTGGTCAGGTCTCTTGGCCACGTGCCTTGCTGCTGTCGTTGTGCCCGTCAATGATGAGCCCCAGATGCCAACACATTTTCTCAGGCTCAGCACTGATAAAACAGCAGTGTGTCTGCTTATAAGCAAATAACATTTTAGATTGTATAGGCATCCTGGGATGTGTTTGGTACAGAAGAGTATCACTGACAGGAGATTTACTGGCAAGTATTGAAAGCCATAAGCTCATGGTTTTCAAAACAGTTGCAGTGTTCCAGGACGTTTAACTTCCCAAATATGAAAGATCAGGACAAATGAATATTCTGGGATTACTGGGAGATCTGAAAATAATTTGAAAACGTTGTGGTCCCCTACACCAGCATAACCCCGTTACTGCTGGCTGGTCAGGCACAGATAACATCAAGTCTCCTTCACACTTGGGCAAAGTACCTAATAATCTGATTGCAGAGGAATCTGAGCTAGACAAGTGATTTCTCTGCTGGCAACAGCCTGGCAAAGTGAGCTCTTGCTCTGGAGGTTTGTCAGGGATGTGACAGGGATCCATCAGCTGCAGGATGGGGCAGCAGGAATCCCTGTCATGCTGACCCATGGGGTGCTCTCATTCTGGGGCTGGGTTGAGGGCAGAGCCCAGTCCCTGCAGCCTGAAACTCCTTTCCCCCACTTCTGGGCTTACAGAACCCGAGCTACTGGAGGTTGTTTTTGCCCTGATCTCCTGTTCCATAGCTCTAATTCCCTGCTTACTACCAGGGCAAAATAGTACCAAAAAAATGAGTCCCGACATCACAGCTGTTCTAATGACTCTTATATTTTAATGCATTTAATTTGTGAGTACACAAATGCTCATTACATCAATTTTAGCCCTTTCCAATAGCCCTGGCTGAATTATGTAATGTCTGTTTTGCCTCTGCTTGCTTTCATAGTGTAAATTAATTTCTCCATGTATTGCTGCAGCGTTTTAGTCTAAAAGCTTTTTTATATGCAGTAGGCTGTGCCATTAAAAATCTCTTTGGAGACTGAATCGCCTTATTATCTGGTAACAATGTACTCACTGTTAAAAGCTGTAGCTAAAATCTGAGCTGTTGAACTTGATGTGTTTCAGCTACCTCCTCCCTCATCTGCTTCCTACCAAGCCGGCGTTAGATATCCACGGGCTCTGCCACCAGACTGCAAACACGGTCCAGAGGGTCTTCAAGATGAGCTTTGTCCCCGTTGGCTTCTGGCAGAGGTTCATAGCTCGAATGTTAATTAGCCTGGCAGAGATGGACCTCCAGGTAGGTTACTGTGTCTGTCTGCAAACAAAAGCAGACAGCTGAGGGGGTTCAGAGTAAGTGGGATGTCTGTTCACATCCCGCTTGCTTCTGTCACAGACTGCAGTAGCATTGTTTGAGTAAGCAGGGAGAAGTGAGGCTCTGCACTCAAAGCCTGACTCTGTTTTTGCAGTAGGTGTCATTGAGAACGACAAATTGGCACTGGGGGAGAAAACCTGAGTTCTCCACAGTCTCTTTATAACGTGACCCCCTGGAAGGTCTCAGTTCCTCCAGCATCTTCCAATTACAAGTAATTGGAGTTCTGCCTGCGGCTCTTGTCCATGACCATTCCACCAGAGCAGAGTCCCTCACAGCTTTGCCAGAGGAGATCTGGAATAGCTCCAGCCGAGCCAAATATCTGAATCTCTATGGGTTTAAATGAGAAGAAAATTACAGGACTGTTGCCTTAATGAGGCACCCCATTAGTGTGAGTGCTGTGAGTGACATTAAAGTAGTGTTTGCAAGGTTCTGAGAGCCCAGTGAATTTTGATGTTGTTTGCAGCAGTTTCTATTTGAAACTGTAATAAATATCTGCAAAATATTTATAGTACTGCTCTGGTATCTTCTTAGCAGCTCTCCGTTAAACTGTGGTCTGTCAGTGATGTACAGAACATGGAAAACATGATGCCTGTTTTTGGAAGGTCCTCTGTGTTCCAGGCTTCTCAAGCCATGTAATAACTTTACCTCTTTTAACGGGGTGTCTTGGCAACCCCTTGCTTACATCCTCCTGGGCACTACATAATCCTAAAGCACCTTTCCTAGGGGCTTCATCCAGTCCTCATGAAGGGAGTGGAAAGGATGCCAGGCGTCAGACCTGTCTGCAGGCAAATAAATGTTGGAGCAATGAGTACAGCGGAGTCCTGCAGATTAACTTCTTGGTTTTAAAACAGAAATACATTTTGCTGGTTTCAAGTGTCTTGGAGAAGAGCCATCTTCCTCCTACTAAAACAGGTGGAAAAGTTAACTCTCTCCATTGAGGGCAGACTTCATCATTCACTAGAACATTTAGTGCTTTTGGTTTATAAGACTTTTGTGAATGCAGAATAAATATGGCAAATGTCACAGTTACAGAATTAGCTTTGTGCACTGATATGAAATTGTTCTTTTTTGAGTGGCATGAAAAAGATTTCCACTGTGGAAAAATCAATTTTACCACGTGTATTTCCATTCCATCGCAAAATTTTATATGAGCACAAGTCACTTTTACTGGAAAAGGTACAACAGCACCTGTGAAAGCCAAAAAAAGAAATCACTTTCTTGCCCGATTGAAACATCCTTACGAGAAACTTCAGCATGATTTTCATGCTTTTCTGCTTGTTTCAGCTCTTTGAAAACAAGAAGAACACCAAGACAAGGAACAAAAAGGTGACCATCTACAGCTTCACAGGCACACAAAGGAACCGCTGCAGCACGTTCCGAGTCAAAAGGACTCACACGGTTTACTGGCAGGAAGGTCTGTTCGTTACCTTTGATGGAGGCTATCTTAGGTAATTTGTGTTCATAATGCAGCATGTGTGACAGGGGACTAATAGAGTGTATGAGACTCATCAGCTGAATGGAGATGAATGGGCCTGACCCAGGCCGTGTGCTCACTCATCAGGAGAAGAGGAGGCTCTTCTAATGGACATAACTCACCTGGTAACAATTGCTGACAAAAGTGATGAATAACTGATTATTTGGCAGGTCTGAATGTATCAAGCTTATCTGCTGTTGCAGCCACAAATTGAAAGATGACTGAGAACAGAAAGTGAAATTCAGAGTGGGGCTCTGGCAGCTTAAAATCATGCATTTTCACATGCAAAGATTTCCTTACCTCAATGAGTTTTCCACTGAATCCTAAAACTTCACCACTGCGTGGCAGTAATCCAGGTCAATGGAGGTGCTTCTGTGCAGCAGGGACTGTGGGCAAGTGCCTCAGCCTGGCCAAGGCAGAGTGTCTGCTGGCTGCAAGCCTGGGGAAAACCTCCTGTCCACGTTGTTTCACAAATGCAGACATTTAAGGCTTTTGCTCCTTCAGTCCCTGGCAAGACAGGGAGGAACCATTGGTGCTGTTGCATGGTTGGAGGCCAGAAGGGAGCAGTGACCTTCCCAAGTTTCCAAGCTCAGTAGAGACTTGAACCCAGACCCTGCAAACCACAGGCTGGAATCCTGAATTCTGGACTCTAGTAGTGGTCATGCTCTTAGCTCCCCATGTATTTCAAGGAGTTACACTTTCATGGGAATTGTGCAAAAATGATATTCATAAACTTTTCCTAACGGTTTCTGGAAATACCATTATTATTCCACTGGAGTTTTATTACTGATTTTACAACTCCCAACCTTCCATCACTCTGTATAGGGCATTTCTGTCAAAGCTCTCTGTCATACTCAGCTTGCTTAGGGGCCACAGTTTTCCCTAGTCCTGACCTTCTATAGCACTTACCCTTTGTGAGGAACTGGCATTTCTGTGCAAGAATTCTCTTCTGAAAGTCATTTTCAGAACAGACTGACTTGAAAATCACCCTCAAAGCTAGATTGCTTTGTGTTTCGATGACTCATGAACTGTGTGTTATTATGTAACTCAGGTTTCCTGCCAGAAAGAAAGTTTGTTGACACTGATACTGCAGAAAAGCTTCACAGGTCTGTCTTTTGGCTTTCTCACACAGCGTCGAGTCTTCTGATGTGAACTGGAAAAAGAAAAAAAGTGGTGGAATTAAAATAATTTCCCAGTCAGAAGTGAGAGACTTTTCAGCCATGGCGTTCATCACGGATCATGTCAACTCTTTGATAGACCAGTGGTTCCCTGGTAAGAGAACAACTCTAATTTTCTGTGCAGTGTTACATCTTTTCAACAGAGGGTTCTTTGACAGAGCTCTCCAGGTGCACAATATTGTGTGTTAATTGAAGACCCCTCAGGCTCTGACAGTCTGAAGCCAATAACATTTGATAAAAGCTAATAAACCTGCAGACAGATCAAGATTAGTTGCCAACACCCTTTGGTCTAGACATTGTGTCTTCCAGTCTGTCTGTCACAGCAGCACAGGTGAAACATTGCAGTTCAGACAGGACCTGCAGGAGTTCAAGAGATTCATCCAGTGGGGGCAGGATTTGGCCCAGACTGCTTGGTCCTGTCCCTTGAACTCATTTTGGCATCCTCTGGGAGGAGGATTTGCCCATCATTTCTAACTTTCTGTGAGTTACAAAATTCTGATGTGAGAGGCTTGAGTGAATATGGTACCAAGACTCCATGCCAAGGTAACTTCCTTGACTCCTGCAGCTGCTTTTCCTGTGCTCAGCACAGATCCTGCTGTTACCCAGCAGGCTCTTTGCAACCCCAAGACACTTTGTTTGAAACCAAAACAAAATCTGAAGTGCTCTTTGTCGTCCTACCCTGGTCTAGAAAGCAGTGCCAAAGTCTCTTAATTGGAGGCTCTGTGGAGGAAACAGTGGTGCACTCTCACATACTCACGTTCTGCGTGTTCTGAAGATTAAAGAACATTTTATTTGCCTTTGGATTAAAATAATGCTAAAGTTAATCAGTGAAGCTTGAGAAGAGCCACGACTTCAAAGGCTGCAGCCTGTGTTCACCCTGACTAATTGTGGGCATTTAAAAGAGCCTGTCACCACAAAATCTCTCTGTAGTTATGGGAGAGGTGTGAACCTCCCAAAGGCTTAGTCGTGGTAGAATCCAAGTTTCCCCTGGAGGGGCTGAACACATTGCCCATGAGGGAGCCTGCAGGACCTGTGTTCCCAGCCTGGGTGCTGCAGGTGAGTGCTGAGCCCGAGCTCAGTGTGCTGTGCCTGCCAGCCTGCTCACAACCCCATTCCCACCTCAAACAATCTGGCAGTTTGCAGCCTGGGCAGACAGAGGCACTCAACAAGCAGAAGGGTCTCTCCATTCCTTTATTCACATACTTCCAATTTTTGCTAGTCCTGAGCACACCTGCCTCACAGGCCTGTGCATTACCTGTGACCAGAGCAGGGTGAGCGTTGGGTTATGTCCACAGCCCTGTCTCCCCAGCACTGTCCCTGTCTACTTTGCAGAGCTATTTTCCATTCCAGTCAGTACCCTGCAGCAAACTGCTCTGTGTGAGCGTGACCATCCCCAGCCGGCGGATCCAGGTCGTGCCGCGGACACTGGAATGCACTCGGAGCTGTTGTTCCCTCTCAGCTGCCGTGGTGACGTGGTTTCCTGTTTGTTTGCTCTCTCTGCAGCCCTCACAGCCACGGAGAGCGATGGCACGTTGCTGATGGAGCAGTATGTGCCCTGCCACATCTGTGCAGCTGCCAGGCCGGAGCAGCGCGAGGGCGGCGAGAGGGCGGAGGACGCGCAGTACTTCAACATGGAGGATTGTGTCCTGACCGCCATCGAGCTGGACTACATCACATGTCCTAACCACCCTGACATCCCCGTGTCGCTCCAAGAGCTGGTCCCAGAGCTTTTCATGACTGATTTTCCTGCCAGGTAACGTGTGACAGCCTTTGGTTGAGTTTCAGTGAACCTGCGTGATTTGGTTGGGCACTTTTCCCGAGTCGCCTCTGCTGGAGGGACGTGCTGACCACAGGAAACAAATCCATCTGCTCTCCATCCGTGCTCTGGCAGTTCATCCTGAGCTGCACCCCTGGTGTTCAGCAGCTTGCTTAGACAATATCTGTGTGCTGACCGAGTCACCACACCAGGGGTCCTTTGAGATCACTGTGGTGCAATGTCAAAGTCCTTTTTAAAGCCACAGCTGTCCTGCATTGCCCAGAACTCTGGCCAGGACTTTCTGTAGTTGGAGCCTTTCTGGGATCCCACAAAAGGAGATTTTAATGTGGCAAAACAAAAAGGAAGTGCTGCTGCATCACAAAATTGGCACTGAAATGGCTCTAATTTTGTAAGGGCCTGTAGGTGAGTGAGTTTATGGACACCACAGGGGGACTCACACTGAGCTGGGGCTCCTGCTCGGCTGAGAGCTGCTGGATGTGTTGAGTGTGTGGCAGCCCTGAACAGCTGAAGGAGCTCTTCCCTACCCACTGCAGCATTGCCAAATCTTTAAGCTGCTTAACTGCATTCCCAGATGGGCTGTCTTATACCCCTCGTTACTCAGTGTGCAGAGCAGACCCGAGAGCAGGCAGGACAGGAGAGCAATGTCCCCTTTGGCTCCTGCTCTCTCAGACCTCTGAGTGCCCAAGGCAGAATCACAGGACCTCTGGACCAGACTGTCCTGTTGGCTGCTGTCAGAGCTCTCTGTGCTCTCACTGGCCCCTGTTGCTTTGTTGGGGTCATTTTTCTGGGCAAACACCCCATCAGCTCATCACACCATCCCTCCTCACACTGTTATCTCCTGCAGATTTATTTGGCAGGTGTGAGGCGAGTGGAGATGTTTGAAGTGTGAACAGCTGTAAAAGTAGTCTCTGGGAGAGTGGGGAAATGATGAATTGCAGCCTGAGAACACTAAGCTGATTTGAATAATCAGGTTTCAGAGTGTGGGGCTGTTCATAAACATCCTGTCCTGCCTCGGTGGAAAGAAAGAGGAACAGGAGGTAAATGAAGCAAAAAAAAAAAAAATCATTAATACAGATAAGTAGTACAAGTATCAGTACCTGTGTCATCTGCTTGGAAAAGGAGCTTATGTGCTTTCCAGATCTGTTTGATTCTTATGGGATAAATTAGTAAAAAGCCTTTTGTGCTTCTTTGCTCAAATTACTATTTTCTGTGAGAGATCTGTTGTACAATGTGAGCCAGCATGGAGTGCACTGAGATGACCAAGGTAGTTCAGGCAACCCAGTCCTCTTGGTAGATAAGGCAAGAGCCTATTAGGCATTTGTGAAAATGGAAATCACATTAAAAACATTAATTTACCACATCTTTGAAACTTTAATTAAAAAACCCCAATTTCTGTTTGGCAGACTGTTCCTGGAAAATAGCAAACTGGAATGCAGTGAAAATGAAAACAACGTTCTTGGCCAGGGTGGAAGTGGAACTGTTATATATCGGGCACGATACCAAGGAAAACCAGTGGCTGTGAAGAGATTTCAGATTAAAAAATGCAAGGGTTCTCCCACTTCAGCTGCAGGTACAGTGCACAGATTTGGTGTCAGGAATCTGGGAATCTGGGATCCTAAGCTAAGACCAAAGAGTCTGCAAAGTGCTGACAGCACCTGATTAAACACAGCATGGAAATAGATAGCAAAACTGATGGTTTTCAGTGGAGGAGGAGGATGCATGTGAGAGTTCTTCATGAGCATTTGTAGTGATGAAGGTCACTGGCTCTGCATGAGGCTTCTCTCCTGCAGATCAAAGGTTGGATTTATAGGGTGCCAAGGCAGAGCCCTTGATTGGGAAGGGAGGTGAGATTTCACCTCCTGTTTCAATACTATTTGACCATGAGAAATGTGGGTTTGCTTGGGTTTGCACTGAGGACTTGTGAGTTTCCACCTCTGAATTTGTGTTTTACCCACTCTGTGCCATCAGCTGGAGAAAGCAAACTGGGAATCCTTCTGAGCCCACCAGCTTCTCCAGGCAGGGATGGGCTCCTGTGGAGTCCAGCTTTCCAGCAGAGCCTCAGTCTGTGGACAGAGGAAAGGGGAAAGTGCCTCACATTCCTCATTTTTGTCAGGGGAGGATGTGGTGAATCCCTGAGCTGGGGAGGAGGCCAGCTGCTGTCCCAGTGACAAATCACCTTCGGGAAGAGCCGACCTGCCTGAGCAGCCTGGGGTGTGCTGTGGCAGCAGGACCATTACTGTGATGGGTCTCTTCTGGCAGGGAGGCTTGGAAACTGTAGGGAAGAGCCCTTCCAGCAAAGGGGCTGCAGTGTGCCATCTGCACAGAGCCCCTGCTGGGAGAAGCATAGCACGGGCTTCTCCAAAGTCATCAGGGGATGTGTGAGAACAGCATGTGCCAGGCACACCTGAGCCTGGTGTTTAAGGACCAAGAGAGCTCTTGCTTCCTGAGGCACCAGACAGATCCTGCTTATAGCCAGTGTCTCTTAGTGGCTCATGCATCAGCAAAAGGATTCAACTTAAAGCCTTGCTGAATACATAATCCCACCAGCTGCAGCCCTCGCTCAGTGACCACCTCCCAAAGAGTTTGTGACTCGTTTCCTGAGCTGGGCAGTGAGAAGGGGGGGTTGTGTGTCTTGCCAGATACCATGCTGAAGCACCTGCGGGCCATGGATGCCATGAAGAACTTCTCGGAGTTCCGCCAGGAGGCCAGCATGCTGCACTCCCTGCAGCACCCCTGCATCGTGTCCCTCATCGGCATCAGCATCCACCCGCTCTGCTTCGCCCTGGAGCTGGCCCCGCTGGGCAGCCTCACCACCGTCCTGGCTGAGAACTCCAAAGGTAAAGCCAGCCTCTCCCCCACCCCTCTCCCACTGACAAGTGTTCAGTGGTGTTTAAATTACTGCTTGATTTGCTGGAGGGGATTTTTTTTTTCCCCAGACTAAGGGAAGTGGGAGGGATGGAATTGTTCTTATATTGTGCTTTTGGGAACCTAGTAAAATTGATGCTCGGGATTCTCAAAGCTACTTTGGAGACCTGGATTTTCAATTTTTCTGCAAATGAATACGGAGTACATCTCTCTTCAGTGCTGCGTGGATGGTGCTGTGGTTTTCCCCCTGCAGATGGGTGTCTGGTACTCTAATTATCTCATTATTATCTGTATTGCTGTCATTGTCAAATGAACAACACTAATTCCAAGATAAGTTGAGGCCATCTGACCCTCTTGGCACCTTGGCTTCATGTCAACTTTCAGTCAAACACTGATTTTCACCCAAAGATTTAGTGGCCTAGAAGTGAAAGGGTTTAAAAAAAGAATCTAATAGGACTGTCAGACATGTACAGTAAAATAAACAGTGTCTTTTCAAATGGTGGCATTGAGTGATGTTTCAAAAGGTTGTCAGCTATTGCTCTGGAGTTAAAAAGAGAAGGAGAGAGGGGGAAGAAGCAGCAGTTATGGCAATTACAGGAGCTGGAGACGGGCTGTTCCTTTGTGCCAGGTTCCTCCTTTGTGCCACTGGGACACATGCTGACGCACAAAATAGCCTACCAGATCGCCACAGGCCTGGCCTACCTGCACAAGAAGAACATCATCTTCTGCGACCTCAAGTCGGACAACATCCTGGTGTGGTCCCTGGACGTCAGGGAGCACGTGAACATCAAGCTCTCCGACTACGGCATCTCGCGGCAGTCGTTCCACGAGGGCGCGCTGGGCGTGGAGGGCACGCCGGGGTACCAGGCCCCCGAGATCCGGCCCCGCATCGTCTACGATGAGAAGGTGACCAGGGGAGGCTGTGGGGCTGCCCTGTGGTGGCACTGAGGGGGCTGGCACCGTCCCATGGCTCAATTCCCTTCTCCGTGCATGAGGGCTGGCACTGGCTTTCCCACTGTGCCTTCCTTGCTCTCCTCTCCATCCCCCAGCAGAGCCCTGCCCTGATTTTCTGTCTGTTTCTGGCTCTAGGTGGACATGTTCTCCTATGGGATGGTCCTGTACGAGCTGCTGTCCGGGCAGAGGCCTGTGCTGGGACACCACCAGCTCCAGATTGCAAAGAAGCTGTCCAAAGGGATCCGTCCTGTCCTGGGGCAGCCCGAGGAGGTGCAGCTCTACAGGATGCAGGCACTCATGATGGAGTGCTGGGATACTAAGCCAGAGAAGGTACAAAACCACCCTCCTGGGCTGTGTTCTCTGAGCTGGCTGCCCTCTTTGTGCAGGAGGGCTGAGCTTGCTCCTGGTGCAGCACAACAGCTCCATTGCCCATTTACCCCTCCTGCTGATTTGGCCCAGAATTTCTGTTGACTTAAACGAGAGTTTTATGAATGAAATGATGACAGATTTGTGGCCTTAGACATCTGTGGTGGCTTGAGGGTCCCTTGATGTCCGTGGCAGTTAGGCTGCTGATTTCACCAGGGCAAGACATTACCCATAATTTCTAGAAACAGCTCCAGTGTCATGCTGTGAGTGCAACTACAAAGACTTCAAAATCCCCAAGATTATAAAAGGAGGTATGAGGAAGAAAAAGCTTCAAAGTGCAAGAAAAGGATTATGGTGCATTGCATTCTTCATTAATTTCAGTTGGTGTTTTGGAGCTGCTGTCCTTCAAACAAAGGTCAGCCTGACTCTCAAATGTCTCTACACTGTCATGCAATGGGTCAGCTTCCAAAATTCATAAGCCTGAGGAAATTAATCAGTAAAATGTGTAAGAGAATGACAGACCAAGCTTTAATAAATATTCATAGAATCAGAAAATGGTTTGGGTTGGAATCCAATTCCAGGGACACCCAGCCTGTGCTTGTGCTAGGGATTGCCCCGATCCAGGTGCAGGACCTTGTGCCTGGCCTTGTTGAGCCTCCTGTTTATTATGGTTCTCCTGTTTCATCTTGTGTGACTTGTCTTTCTCTTTTCCTCCCCCCTTAGCGTCCCCTGGCCATCTCTGTGGTGGGGCAGATGAAAGACCCAACCTTTGCAACGTTTATGTACCTGCTGCCCTGTGGGAAGCAGTCTTCCTTCTTCTGCTCCCCGGGGCAGGAGTACACCGTGGTGCTCTGGGATGGGAAGGAGGACACCAGGTGAGACAGCTCACATTAGCAATTCCTTTTTTTTTCTTTTTCCTTTTTAAGTAAAAAATCCTTCAGCATCTTCGCTTCTGCCTCTGGGAGGGAGGTAAAGAAGGTGAAAGTGAGCTTGGATGAACGCCAAGAATACAGTGAACACTGTTTTCCCAAACTCTTTTAATTGGGAACAGTGGTTGCTTTATAAAGGATATTTAATGAGCTTAACTCTGCTTCAGTTAATATGGGGAGAAGATTAGGGCAGTGTAATGATTCACACACACAGGATGAAGCATTTGCACATGAGAACAGACGTGTTCTGCCTTTCCTAATGAGGCCATTTAACACTAAACCTTTCCTAATTGAGGCTGCAGTTCCATCTCTCTTCTGCAAAGCAATTAAGCACATGCTTAAATCCTATTGCAATCATGGGGAGTTAACCACATGCCTGGAGCTGTGTGTGCATCCAAGTGTGCACTGCCAGTAAAATGTGTTCTGGACTGAAGGCATGTGCTTAAAATGTTATTAAATTGTGACTGAGGTGATGGCATTTTGCTCAGCCACACGTGACCTGTGGCTAGTTAGGTTCATTTTTATGGATGCTGCTGATTTTTATAGCCTCAGTCTTATTTGGAAACATTCACAAACTGATCTGAATTTTATATTAATGTGTTCATTATTTGTAACCATTAAGCTAATGGGGAAGGCACATGATTTGTTGCTGAACTATTTGCTTTGCCATTTGTGGTCCCTGGTCAGTTGTTCAGTGCAGGCAGTGTAACTTTTCCTGCTGAACTGGTGAAGCACATGGCACTCCCAGATGTATTTTGAATACATGGATATTGTCCAAATATTCACAGCAATATATCTCAGTGAATCTGCTTCCTGACTGGACAATCCACTTGCTGAAGACTGTTGAATAACAAGTTTACTCACATGTGACAGATTTCAGGATGTGTAATTGCTTGTGCCACAGTTGGTAAAACATCTGGGACTCACAGATGTGGTTGTGAATATCCAGTTATTGTTCAAACATCCAAACTCAATAAACTTCCCCAAACAAACAAAATCCTTTTAGCTACAAAAAAACTACTAATTAGTCATATTTATAAATAATTTTATTAACTTAGAGATCTTTGCTCTGTAGAATCATGCTCCTCTGTTTATGTACTGGAATAATAATGAAGCCAGATAATAGCAAGGTAGTGAACTTGGAGAGCAGCTATTCCCTTGAGAACCAAATGGGCAAGATGGGCTGAGACTTCCCAGTTATTAATTACTGCTGTTCAGCTGGATCTGTTTGTCTCACAGCTCCATTACAGGAACAGACCACATACGTCCTGCTAACCCTGTGCAAAGTCAGAGAGCTGAGTGTAAATCCTCACAGAAGCAATTGCACATCTGCCCCTGAGCCAGGGCACATCTTTCTTTTCCTTCAAATGAGGTATTTCCAGTTAGGAGGGGTGTAGATCCTTGCAGCATCATCCACATCTGAGCAGTTTTGTCATGGCTTGGCCACAAGTGCCTCAAGTCCCTCAGCCCCGTGCAGGAGGAGTGTTGGCTGTCTGAAATTGTTGCTTGCTCCTTTCAGGAACTACACAGTGGTGAACCTGGAGAAAGGAGTCATGGAAGTGCAGAGGATGAGCTGCCCAGGAATGAAGCTGTGCTGCCAACTCAAATTTCAGAATGCCCTGTGGGCAGCCACGGAGGTGAGCATTGCCTGTGCCCCCTCGAGAGGGGTGACACTAACGAAGAGAAAGGGCCTGTTAAATTAGTAAAGCCAAGAGTGTGTGAGACAAAGGGCGTCTCAGATGAGCAGTGACTTTGCATCTGCTGTCTCCAGGTGTTTTGTTTCTACCTGACACACAGCTCCAGACTGTGCCTCCCAGAGCGACCGTGGGAACCTCGGCTTCCCGAGGGGAAACTCTGGGCTGGAGCAATCAGTGCCCAGGGGTTCATCTGGGAAATGTCCTTATCTGTGGGTGATAAAGGGAGGCAGGGACAGAAAACATGCATTTAAGGGTGGGGTTTTGAAAGAGGCCTGAGGGATTTGAAGGTTGGTGGGAAATGGGTACCCGAGTTTTGTGTTCACCGTGGAAAATTGCAGCTAAAAAGATAAGAGTGAGAGAGAGTGGCTGATTTATCCCCCAGAGCCCCTGGCCACCCATCAAAAAGGGCTGTTAAGTGTCAGCCAACTCTGACACAATCGTTTCACACAAAACAAAGAAAAAAACGCAAAAAAATTAAATGTACCTGAAGTTCAGTGTTTTAGAGTGGGGGAGGAAAAAAAGGCCAGACTTGCTGAGTAAATAATTTGTGTTGGCTATTTCACTCTGCCCTGGCATGGATGCTGTGAGTATAGAATTTTTTTTCTCTCCATAAAAAAATAAAATATTTTGACTTTTTCTCGTCTCAAATAGAGGTAAAGCTCAAATACTCTTTCTTTTTTCTTTTTAATAATAATAATAAAAGTCTAGAAAAATTTAAATTCAAAGATCTTAAAGCATTGAATTTCCACCTTTTGGATGAGAATCAAAAGTTTGCTGGTTCCAAAACTGGATGCTCTTGGCCAGTCTGGTAGATTTAGGAGGTGTGGGATAGGTGTGATTTCACATAAAATGTAATGTCCCTCAAATGGACAGATAATTGCAAAATAACATACAACCTGCTTCAATTGTTCTTTGGGATTTTTGCATTCAGGGTTGTCAGATGCTGATTTTGGATGTGGTGATAAAATCTCTACACTGGTGATTTTTGGTGACTTTTGGATAATGCATATATTGTCCTGTTCTGGGGAATGCAGCACCTGCTTTCTACTCACATGCCAAAGGTTCTCCATTAAAAACAGAAATTTACTGTCTGGATATCAAAAAATACAAATAAAACCCAGTTTTGGAACCAATTAGATCTTGCTCAGGTATCAAGATATGAAAAGCAGGGGGGTGGTTTGCATTTATAGAGTTTTATGTGCTCTTTCACAGGACCAGAAGATTTCTGTGTATGGATTGCAGGGCATGTGTCCCTTAAAGACTCCACTGAAGGGTTTAGACACTCCTGCCACTGTGAGCTGCTTCCTGGTGATGCCTCTTCTGAAAAGGGTAAGGAACAACCCAAAGGAAAAGGGGCAGTAGTGAGACTGTGCTGCTGAGCCAAGCTGCCACTCTCAGCTGGTGCTGAAGGACTTTGCAATGCCCAGGAACATTTTGGCACTGCAAGGAGAAGGTTTCCAGGTCTTTCTGCCTCTGCCAGAGGACAGAGGTGTGGGCAAGAACCCGAGTCAGGGGACCAAAGCTGGCACTTCCAAACCTGCTGGGAAAATAGTCAAAACAGATCAAATTCCTCAGCAAGGAAGTTTTCCAGCTGCGTTTCCACTTCACTGGAACACAAGATTTGGGCTGATCAAACAAAGTGGAGAAGACATGAAATAATAATTACAATAGAGATTTGTTAAGTGCTAATGCAGGACGTGGGCACATCCGGCCTCTTGTAGCCACTGTTTTCCTGGCTGTGCTGTCATTTGTGTGCACAGTCATCCTGAAATGTTATCTGGGCTCAGCCACACTCCTGTTTTGGTTTTGAATGAGAACACTTAGATAATACAGCTGGTTTGGGTAATTCTCTTATGGGTAACAGGGATAATTACTCTTATGGACATTAAAACAAGGTCTATGTTATCTGCCTTGCCCTGGGATTGCCACCATCCCGTTCTGGCAGGAGAGATCTGACCTGGGTGCCTATTGAGGGCAAGCCTTGGGAGATGTATAAAAACTGTTTTCCAGCTAAATTACCTCCGTTTGCTTACAGCCACCTCAAGTGAAAATATGTAATTATGTTCCAACATTGCTGGTAGCTGTGTAGTCTTTGCAAATGCCAGCAGTCTGGGATGTGTCTGAGAGCTCAGCACAGGGCAGCTCTCAGAGCTGCTGGTTTATACCAGGCCTGTCCTGAGCCATTGTCCATTTCTGGCTCTTCTGCTGGGATTGCTGAGTCTGAGGCAGATGGTTTGTGTAAGGTGTGCTGCTGCACTTCCAAACATGGTGTAAGTGGAGCTAAAGTAGGGCATTGATGTAAAGTTGGCACAGGGCTGGATTTCTCTGCATCTGTTGGCTTTCCTTGGCTCCCGGACCTGCCGCATTTGTCCACCGTGGAGTTTCATTTCTGATGTGTAGGGCAAATTTCTTTTTCATGCTGGCTGATGTTCCATCCAGGACAGTGGAAGGAGCCTTTTGCTTTCAGCTTTTCCACTGTCACACAGCTTGCAAAGCCATTCCTCAGGGGTTACGAGTGGCTTTATGTCTCCTGGTTTCTATTTCCAGTTTGTGGCTTGCCTAGAAAATGTCATAAATAATGCCAGGCCCTACAATAGCAATATTGAGTCTAGACACCTCCCTTCCTCCCCCAACCCTACCCAACCTTCCAGAAATCCACCTCCCTTCAGCTCACTCCTTCTTAGTTTATTGGACTTACTTTTTCCTCTCTCCTTTCTATGAATGAGTTTGGCAGTGAAATGGCCAGAGCAGCAGCCTGGGGATGTGCAGACCAGGCTGGCAAGAACTAAACCAGCCAGTTCTTCCAAAAAACCTATGTGGAAAGCTTACACTTGTCACACTCACTGCCTGGCCAGCAAGCTGTATCAGAGTTATCACAGTCACTGCTGTCCAGTGGAGAAGAGAATTGCATTTCCCTTTAGCTGGTGAGATGTGAGGTAACTTTTAGTCAGAGAATTGCCAAGGGATGTTGCTGGGAAGGGGAATTCTTTATGACTGCCTTGGGAAGGCTGATCCAAAAGAAATAGTTTCCAAAACTTGGTTTCTCTTCCAAAGGAAGCATCATGGAAATTTGAAAGCAGGCAAGAGGGGCCCAGAATCTGAAACTCACCCGCCAAGGAAAAGTCTTGTACAATTTAAGCTTTTTGTTGCATGCTTTTTGTCACCAGGATGATTCTTTTTGGTAAACAATACAATTTGCAGCAGAAAAAAGCAAACAAATTAGCAAATGAGCAGGTTAAAAGGGCAAACCAAGACACATTCTGCCTTGGTAGAAGAGAAGTGGAGGGAAGAGATGTGGAGGGAGACAGAAACCTGAATGGGTGCAAATCTTTGGCCCCGCGCAGACACCTGAAACACGTGGAAACAAAAGCTGCATTTAAAGGCTGCAGCCAGCAGTGCCAGACCCTGTGGGGACAAGAGGAGGAGGAGGAGGAGGTGACCAGGCCCTGGTGCAGGATTTTTTGCCATTCCTGCTGACCTGCTGGCAGGGGGACGGGACGTCTGGAGCCGGCTCATCCCCGGTCATCGCTGCGGCCCCGCTCGGGGCCTTCCTCCTGGCACGGCCCCGCTGCTGGCAGCACGGGGCCTTCAAACGCACTTTTGTTGCTGTGTGTTTTTGTTGGCTCCTCGTGGAGCCCAAATGCTGAAAATGAATTCTGAGAAAGTTACTTAAGGTTTCTGGAGGCTGCAGCCCTGCCTGCCTTTGGTGGCTGCTGGAATACCCTGATCAGGGGGGCTTTGCTTCACCAGCACTGGGTAAAATCTGGCAAGAATTAATTATGGCATCTGTGGGGAGGTGGTTTTTGACATGGTCTTCTGCAGAATTGGTCACTCCCTCAGCTCAGTCAAGTGGGAGATGGCAGGGTAAGGGCATTTCTCAGCATTTGCTCCTTGTTTCTTATCTCTCTGAGAGATAACAGTAATGGCTGGATAGAAACAGGTCTTGATAGCCAAGACAGAAAGCAATAATACCCCAATGGAAAAAATACCTTCCAAATTTGCTTCTACCATTGTTCCATCCCAGACAGGCCAGGATTTGGCATTGGTATTACTGGTAACACCAGGAGGGCGTCAGTGACCCACCTCTCCCTGGTTATGGTGCTGTCTGCTCAGTGCCAGGGAAATTTGGCCTGTGGAACTCAAAAGGGAATAGGGATTCTGTTCTGTAGTAGCTGACACTAATCAAGGAATTCAAAATAATTTTTTGTGAAGACTATGCTTGGATAATTCAGCGTTATCAAATCAAATGAGACAAAATTATAATCTCTGAAGATTTTTATAGTGTCCTGTGTCATGCTAGGAGCAGTTCAGGTTGACATATACATTACAGTTAATGTCTGATGTTCCCATTTCAATTTAAATTTCCCATTTCTAGTAAGAAATGCCTCTTGTGCGGGGTCCTTCAGACTGAAAAAGTTGGACCATTTTTTACCAGAGAAATATGGGCTGTTCTGCTTTGTTTTATTCAGTTTTAAGTAATTGAACTCCCTTCCAAAGAAAAAGTAACCCAAAACCCAGCTTGTGCAAAGCATTGTGCCATGATCCAACTTACTGATGCAACTCCTTGGCAAAGGCATTTCCAGGAGCCTTTGCACCAGATCCACATGGCAGCAGGAACATGGCACTGAGCACTGCAGGTCGTTGGGGTTTCTTTTAATTAGTGGTTAGAGAATTGGGACTGGACTGAGTTAGTCCAAGCCCCATTTCACAACTTTCCACTTGCTTTCCTAGTTTTTCCCATTACAGTAAAATTCTGCTGTGATTTGGATTAGTCATAGGGGCTCAGTGCTCTCGTGGTTTTACTCATACTTGGTAAGCAGAGAGTGTCTCTTTGTCCAGGACTCAAAATGAGCCTTGCAAGCAGAGCTGTCAATTAAATAACACTCACCCTGCACTACCTGCCCCTCAATAGCTGGGGAAAGTCAGAATACTGATTTTTCTGTGCATTTACTGCCTGGGAACTATTGTCTAGGCCTGGCAGAATCAAGATCCCTGGAAGGGCACAGGGGTGCCTTAATTTAATTTTTGCATTCCCAGCTAAGGGTGACTGAGCCCTCAGCCCCTCACTGGCATCCTGGGCATGCCAAAGGCTTTCCACTGGTGAGAGGCTGAGGAGGGACAAGGTTGTGTCAGCTCTGTGCTGCTCTGTCTGGTTCTGTTTGGTTAGCTGTGCTTAGTCCAGGCAGCAAAGAAGTCCTGGGTAAAATGGTCTTTATTTAGAATTTATTGCTCCACAGGGAGGAAATAGAAAGGCCTTTGAGGTAAGTATTGTTTTATCTGCTTCACAGATGGGGGAGTTTCTGGTAGAGGCCCAAGGTCACGGGAAGTTTTGTTCCCAAGAGATCAATTTCCCAGCCTGTTTAACAGCATTTTGCCCCGCTGGGATGAGCTGGAGGAGTTGCTGAGCCGTGGCCTTCTCAGCAGCTCCTGCCCCTGGGACACAAGGGATGCATGGCCCCGGAGCTGGAGCTGTGTCCAGCACATCTGTACATTTAGGGACAGGTTTTTACCCACCTGCAGAATTGTTCGTGCCACTTGGCAGGTGCTTTGCTGAGCTGCTGCTGCTTCTGTGCCCTGGGCTGGGATGTCTGAGCTGCCAGGGATCCCAGAGCCAAAGCACATCCCTGGGAGGAGCAGAGCTCTCAGAGCAGCAGATTCTGGATGAGGAGCAATCACTGGATGCTCTTGTTTGGGAGAATATTGGCTCCCTCTTTCCATTTTTACTGCATTTCTTCCATTCCTCTCCTACCTACATTGATAGCAATAGCTTTACTCCTTTTTGGAAGTGAGCCAGGTTTCTGCAGCTGGATTCCTGGGATCATGATGGCTGTCTCTGAACATACTCCAGCTTGAATTTGTTAACCTTCAGGGCAGGCTGCCAGGTCCGTCTGTCTGCCCCTGCCAGTAAAGAGAGAGGTAATACTGGGTGAAAGGAGCCTGGCTCTGCAGCAGCTTCTAGGGAATGACTCCTTTTTATGTTGTGTTATCGCTGTTCTGGGGTAAGTTACTGGTGTTCTTGCAGAATGTGAGAAGCAGGCAGAGCTTCTGGGAATGAAAGCTCTTCTATTATAAAGAAGTAAAGAAACAGGAAAAAATTCTTTGCTGTGAGGGTGGTGAGGTCCTGGCACAGAGAGGTTGTGGACTTCTATCCCTGGAAGTGTTCAGGGCCAGGTTAGATGGGGCTTGGAGCAGCCTGGTCCAATGGACAGTGTCCCTGCCCATGGCAGAGGGATGGAATGAGATGATCATTTAGGCTCTTTCCAACCCAACCATTCTATAATTCCATGAAATTTTTCTCTCTTTCTCACAGAACTCATATGTGGTGCTGGCTGGCTTGTCAGATGGACTGGTAGCTGTGTTCTCAGTGTCCCAGGGCCTGCCAGGAGACAACTGCTCCTACCTGTGCTCCCACACAGCCAACAGGTCCAAATTCAACATCCCGGACAGCGACCCGCGGCAGAACCCGTACCCAGTGAGGGCCATGGAGGTCACCAGCGGCGGGGCCGAGGTGTGGTACAGCAACGGCCCCGGGCTCCTGGTCATCGACTGCGCCTCCATGGAGATCAGCAGGAGGCTGGAGCCCTTCAGCCCGCCCTCCATCATCACATCCATCGCCTGCAACTCCGAGTGCCACGGCGAGGAGGTGCTCTGGTGTCTGGATGACAAAAGCAACTTCCTGGTGATGTACCACGCCACCAGCTACCAGCTCTGTGCTCGCTACTTCTGCGGGGACTGCAGCCCCCTCAGGGACATGTTCACCATCCAGCAGCCCTCGACTGCCATCCCAGCCACAGCCCCCATCGGCCAAGGGGCGATGGAGAGCAACCCTCCAGGGGATGTGAGCATCATGTACAGCCCAGACGTGGGCACCCAGATCCTGAACCACCAGGACTCGCTCACAGATTACTGCTCTGTGTCTTCCTACTCCTCCTCGCCTCCCAACGCGGTGACCCGCTGCCCCTCCAGCCTGCCCAGCTCGCCCTTGAGCTCTTCCAGTGCACCCTTCTCCACGGATTTTGAGGAGTCTGAGAAATTCCACGAGCTGAAGGCTCCCCTGGATCATGATGCTTCACCTGTGGGTGAGAACACAGAGCATCTCCAAGCAGTCAAGATTCTTCCTGTAAAAGACCTCATCTGGATCCCCAGGTAAGTGGGTCACTTAACCAGGCAACTTAGTCAAAATCCCTCCTGGCTGAGCATGAGATTAACTCAGGCTAATTCAGCAGCTTTTACATTCCCAGTATGATTCACCTGGCCAGAAAGTCAAGTTACCATTGAGAAATTCTGTTCCCAGTATAATGGAACATGGATTTTCTACACCTTTTGGAATTATGCAGTGTTGAGCAGAGTGGCCACGTGGAAAACCTTGCTGGGTTGGTTTCAGCAGAATGAGAAGGGGGTGGTCAGACTCCAAGCTGTGTTTCCCCAGCTACAAAAGGAAACAAAGAGCAGCAGGCAGGCTCCTTGCTTGGACACAGCCCTGGCAAGTCCTGCTGCCTCCTGTGGAGCTGATGGGAACCTCTGGGAAGCTGATTTTGCTTGTCACAGGATCTCTCACTGCACTGGATTCAGGATGCCCCCTTGGCATCACGGTGCCCCCTCCCTGTGCCTGCAGGTGGGCATGGAGCAGAGGATGGATATCCAGCATGGATCATCCTCAGCTGACAGCATCCCCAGTGCTGAGGATGTGACATTTCCCTCATTTCTCTTCCAGGAGAGGAGGGGACATCATCGTTATCGGGCTGGAGAAGGAGTCGGGCACGCAACGGGGCAGAGTGATCGCGGTGCTGAAGGCAGGGGAGCTGGCTCCCTACGGGTGAGGCTGGCTGGGCACACCAGGGGCACAAGGGGCTGGGGATGCACAGGGGGGCTCTGCAGGCTCTCAGGGCTCTTGGGAACTTCCTCTTGGCTTCCAGCAGCTTCTGAGGAGTTCCCAGTGGGAGAACACAGTTGCTGAGTGCACATCAAGGCTCTTAGAGAGGGGCAGACAGCAAGGAGAAGGCTCTGAGATTACAGCCTGGTCTCCAAAGTCCACAGAGACTGAGCACCCCATAACGACACAGACAGGATCGAGCTGGCCTGATCCTGCCTGGTGCTGGCTCCCTATGCTCTGAGGGCACCTGGCAGAAGGTCAGAGCAGCCTGGCAGACTCAGCCCCGTGCTCAGAACAAGAGGTGTATTTATGCCGAGCACGGCGCTTGTCTGTGGCTGCATTCACGTGGGTCAGGTTGATGTTCTGGCTCTAAATGAGCACCTTTGTGCTGTGGGCAGTGACAGGCCGGGGGACGGCTCCTGGAGCACAGGGGAGAGCAGTTAGATACATTAATTTAAAATGTTTCATACAGAGAAGGAGAGTCAAGGAAATAAATAACTGCTGGAGAGGTGGGGGTGTTCCTGCTGATCACTTAAATACCGGTCTGGGATTGTACTATTTATGTCCAAACAAATGCAGGTTAAGCAGTGCTAAGGATTATAAATGATCATTTATTACTGCCAGGTAAACACAACAGGAGATCAAAGGCTTCTGCCATTCCCTCTACTCTGAACTGAGTGTCTTTATCAGTTAGCTGGGAGGAGAGAATTCTCTTTATTGGTCACAGGTACTCTTAGGCTGGTTTTGTTTCACTGAGATTGAGTGTGGAGTTCAGGCAAAGTGATACCACATCTCACACCTGTCCTGCCCTGCTGCCTGGCTGGACCAGGCACCGTGGCCGCTGACCCTCCCTGTTTGAGCAGCAGGATAAGGAGCAGGAGGGGAGGAAAGGGAAGGGGCTGCTCAAATGGCAGAGCAGAGCAGGGAGGGGAGGAAAGGTAGGGGTAGTCTGTAATTAAAGGGGGGCAGTCTGTAATAAAAACTTTGTAGGGGCAGTCTGTAATAAAAACCAGCTGCCAAGGATAGTCCTGTGGCCAGCGCTCCCAGCTGGGCGCCTTTGTGGGGAAACACGTTGGCACCAACCTTCCCCATCGGCAATGGGAGTGGTAGAAGGAGCCCAGTGAGGGCTCCACTCCTGTCCCTTGGACCCTGCAAGGGAAAAGTGTCATTGTCTGCCCAGCCACCTCCCTCTGAGGTACCGGCAGGGCCAGCTTCAACAGAGGCCACGAAGGGAAGGATATACAACACGGACCACACGGATCCCTGAGTGCTGCCACAGCTGTGCCTGCTGCTCTGGGCCAGGGGCTCAGACCCTGAGCTGACACAGGCAGGCTCCATCCCACTTCCATGCTTTATTCCAGGCTGTGGAAGCTCTCAGCAGCCTGTCAGCTGTGTTATGATGGAGCTGTTCTGAAAATGCCCAGCTGGCAGCAGGAACAAGAGTCTGTGGATTTAGCAAATCAGGAGATTAGCAGCAACTTCAAATGCCATGGCAGACTTAAGCCCCCACCTGCATATTTAGGCACCTGAATCCCTTTAAAAACCTTTTCCCATGTCACTGAGCTGCTTGGTTTTGATGTGACACAGTTTCTGATCCCTGTCTTTGTAACATTCTCCTTGCTAAAGGATTTGCAGCTTATAAAAAGCTTGTGTAGCTGGAAGGGAAGCTCATGAGCCAGTGCTGCGCTCACAGAGCTGCCCTTCCCTGCAATGCCCTTCCCTGTAATGTCCTTCCCTGTAACTCCTTTCCCTGTAATGCCTTTCCCTGCAGTTCCCTTCCCTGTAACTCCTTTCCCTGTGACATCCTTCCCTGTAATTCCCTTCCCTGCTCTCTGCTCCTTCCCCAGGACTCTGGTGGATGCGGCTCTGGTAGCGAGGGACACGGTGGTGTGCTGCTTTGAGAACGAGCACATGGAGAGGTGCCTGGCTGTCTGGAGGGGCTGGAGTGCCAGAGACTTTGACATTTTCTACCAGGCCTACGAGGAGCTGGGCAGGCTGGAGACCTGCATGCGCAAGAGAAGGTAGTGCCCGTGGCGCTGCACCCAACATCAGCGGGAGCGTCCTGGACTCGGAGACACACCAGGGCTGATGGGGGGACTGTGTGTCTGGTTTGCTGCTAGTGAGCACCCTGGGGTTCCCAGAGCCCCACCAGGGCTTTTGGGGAATGAAGAAGCTGCTGTGAGCAGGGCTGGGAGCTGGGCCAGCTCCCTGCTCTGTCACACGCTCCCCTGTACTGGTGAGAGCAAAAGTGGCTGCAGTTCTGTTCATCCCCCGATTTCCAGTTTGTTCTTCCCCGTTTTGAATTCCTTCCTCACCTTCAGCATGCCCTGGCTGCTGCTGCTGTTGTTGTTGTGTGTGTGTCAGCCAGGAGAGCTCCGTGGGCTCTGCCCTGGGTGTCTGAGCACGTCCCAGTCCCGGCTGCCTGCTGGCTGGCAGCGCGGGCACCAAGGGCTGATTCACCCTGTTCCCAGGAGGAATGCATCTGCTGGAATCCCTGCACTGTGGGGCTGCTTCCCACCTCCCTGCAACTCCATTAGTTAGGGTGTGTGTCCTACTTCAGGTGTAGACCCTGTGTAGAGACACCCTGGTGTAGGAGCCAGCGAGAAGCTGTGGCTGGCCACTGCATTTCTGGTTCCTAGAAGCTGTAGTGGTGCTGAGTTCCTGTGAGGGAGCCCAAAACAACTTGCCAGGAATGCTGCACCAGGAGTGAGTGAGCTGGCTCATGGCACTGCTGCCTTGTCAATGGAGCTGATGGAAAACAAAGCCACTGGGTGTGACAGATATTCCTGATGGAAGAGAAGGGAGCCCCTGACCAGGAAGGTTTATAAGCTGTCTCTGCTCCACTCCTGTTTCTCTTGGGAAATGCGCTCTGGAGCAGCAGGAACACAATAAGCTCAGTTTGCCTGTGTATCTGTGCAGCTTCTGCCCACCACAGCTTGTATTTTATCTTCATTAGTGGCCTGGGATGCTGTATTGGCTCTAAATCCAATTGCACTTAATTATCCCAAGCATGTACAGCAGTGTAAAAAGTGTCCCCAGCTAAGCACCCTGTATAAAGGTGTACAGTTTGAATTTTGGACCTTTCTTTTTCTTTTTTTTTATCCCAAGAATCTCGTGTGAGCATCGGCAAGGCTGGCCAAGGCCGAACGGGCAGGTTAACCCTCTGGTTCACATTTCTGTTGCAGGCTGCTAAAATATCCTTCTTCAGAAACAGAATGTATCTTAAAATAAACTGATTCCTCCCTGCATTGGTGGTTTTTATTGGAAACCCAACTGGCACTGGGTGTCTGGGGTTTGCAGTGTGATTTAAGTGCTGGTTGTGATGAGCACAGCTGGAATCAGGGCTGTGAGTACAGACTGTCTCCATTCCTGGCCTTGCCTGTGACTGTCACCCTGTGCCTCTCCAGCAGCTCATAATCAGGTATGGCAGCACCAGAATTTCCCTCCCTTGCCAGGACACGCTGTCTGCCTTTGCTCAGGGCTGGGCTGAGGTCTCATGGTCACCTTTTCCAGCTGCCAGATTCCTTTGACTTGCAGGAACTCTTCCTGTGATACCTGAAGTCCCAACAGGAGCTATAAAGGGGCTGATTCTTTCATTCAGCCTTGCAGGTTTCCTTTGAGGAAACACCCTGTGGGACAACCACAGCAGTTCCTTACTGTCCCTGTTGACCAGAACACCTTGGGTGCCATGCTGCTCCCAAAGCCAGCGTGGGCTTGTGCCCTCCATGGGCTGCCCAGTGCCCATGGGGGAAGCTGGAGCATCTCCCAAACCTTTGGTGGGCCCTGGCCAAGGCCTGGACACAGCAGGGCCCTTGTTCTGCTGGACACTGCTCTGGGGCTGTTGCTGCACAAGACCCTTCCTGACACACCGAGCCATCCCCTGCTCCTTGCCAGGTGGGTCAGGGTGCTCAGCTGGGGAGGGAGCAGGAGGGGGTGGCACCTGGGTTTCATGGGACCTCTGAGTGGTGGGTGTGTGTCCCAAAACCTCCGGGAGCAGGGGGCTGGTTCCCAAAAGCAGCTGAGAGCCTGAGTAATAAGAACAAAATCCTCGCCCTTCAGCAGACCTGAATCCTCATTAGCACAAGGCTCCATTAAGTGAGCACTGCACGTGCTGCAGGAATGATTCCCCAAGGGCAGAAATAAACAGACATTAAAAACAAAATTAAATCAGCTCCCACCAGTTCAAACAGTTTGATATTTCAGTGCTCCTTTCCATCTCTCCCACCAGCAAAGCCTGTTCTCCTGATGGCAGGTACAGGTGAGGGGCATCAGGGGGAAGGGGTGGGGTCACAGCCAAAGGCAGGAAAAGCCCCAGAGCCCGGGAACAAAGGGGCAGCACGAGCCCCAGGTGTGGGTCTGGGGGAGCTGCACTTATCTCAGTCCTCACTATTTTATTTCAGCTGATAAATATAAGCCCAAGCAGGCCCCTGGCAGGGGGTTATTCCTTCTGCTGACTGAGGAGAGGCAAGAGAACAGCATTGGGCTTGGTGCTGGGGGGGAAGCAGATGCTCTGGGAGTGGATTAACCCCCAGCACCAGCAGTGGGAGGGCAGGGGGTGCCAGGGGTGTTATTTACTCATCAAGGAAGCAAAAAGAGATGAACAGGACCTGCCTGGGCTTAACTGAGCCCAAAAGCACCCCCAGCTTCACTCCCTCAGAGCTGAGAGCAGAGCCACACAGCTCCCTGGGCTTTTCCCTGGAGTGCTCCATGGTCCTTTACCTGCTTTGAAAGGATTATATTCAATTGGATACTGATTCCTATTCCTGGTTTGGGCTGTCTCTTTGCTGGCATCAGTGCAGAGTCAGGCCCTGGGATGAAGAACAGCTGTGCCCAATATCCCAGTTTGGGGCATGGCCTGAGTATTTTTGGGGGGAGGCATGATGTAGGGGCAAATCACTGGGTTGCATCCCATATCCTGATGCTCACTCAGGACATTGTGGGGCCCCAGCACTGTGGGTGCACAGACCCCACCAGCCTGGGGCTGTCCAAACCCAACCTACCCCTCCAGGTGTAGGAAAATGGGAATATTACAGCTCATTCTGCCAGGAAAGGAAAGAAGGGCTGGCTCTGCCTCATGGCACACAGTGCCCTGCACAGTGGGCAGGAATTGCTGTAATTTGATATATTAGAGCATAACCCCACCTCTTGTGCCCCCAGGACAGGGAAGGCAGGTGAACATTGACACAGCAGCAGGATGCTCCTCATCCCACACAGCACCAAGGGCTCTCAGCTCCAGCATAAGGAAAAAGGTGATTTCTAAGGGAGGTGGGGAAAGGGGCAGCACTGGCTGCTTTGTATTCTGCTACCGAAAGGACAGAGGAAATGAGTTTTCTTTAAGCAAGCTTGAAAAGGACAGGAAATATCCTGGTTATTTCAGGCCTGTCCTCAGCTTACCCCTGGATGGGAGCTGGGTTGGGCTTCAGGGGCTTAACCCAGGTGGAGCAGGGTAAGGATGGGGTTGGGGATGGGGATGAGGGTGGAGATTGTGATGAAAATTAGGGTGAGGATAGGGCCAGGGATGGAGCTGGGGATGGGGATGAAAATGAGGAGAAGGATGGGACCAGGAATGGGGTTTGGGATAAGAATGGTGCCTGGGATGGGGCTGGGGCTGAGCTCACCTGCTCAGCACTGGGGAAATCACTGCCAAGTGATGCTGGCAGAGGGACAGAGCCCATCCCAGCCCATGAGTGGAACATCCACAGCTGTTCAGGTTTCCCAGGGCTCTTATGGTCCTGCCCCAGCACTCAGAGCCATCCTGGCACAGCAAACAGCCTTTATCTGCCCCACATCCCAGCCTGTTTGCACTGGAAGTTTGTTTTATCACAGAACCACTTTAAACTCTGCCCCTTTTGGGAGCCCTCTAGGTGAAAAGTCAGTAATAAACAAAGGTGGTGTTACTCTTTTGTATTCTTTTTATAAAAGGTGGAGCAGGACCCTGACAAAATCCTCCTGACACCCCCAACCAAAGAGGGGGGACCCCCCCCATTTCCAAGAGACTGCAGCCCAGCCTGCTGGAAATGTTGGAGCTGATTCAGGTCAATTAAAGTCGAGGTTTTTATTGAATTAAAGTGTGAAAGTAAATTCAGCCAGACCAGTATTTGGGCTGTTTTTTTTTTTTTTTATGTTAATTTAATTTTTTTCATTCCACCCATAAAAGTGATTTAGAAGGTGGTAGGGATTCCTGGGCTGGAGAAGACCTGGGAGATGGTTCTGGAGCTTGGAAAGGACATGGACACACTCCTTACACCCGGGAGTGTCGGCAGCAGTTCGGACGTGAGGAATAAAAGTGCCTCTGGCAGCAGCAGCCAGGTAAAATCCAGGAAAATAGTTGGAAAGGATTCCACATGGGATGCACTGCCTTGGCTGGGGAGCCCAGGTTGTCTCCAAGGCTGCCTAAGCCTGGAAGGAGGTGCCTGTTGAGCTCCAACTGGGATCAAACCCCTGAATTTGCTCTGGTCGGCACAATAACTCACATTGGCAGAGTCCACTGGGTACAAAACCTTCATTAAAACAGGGCAGTGTCCCACCAGCCCAGGGATCACCAAGAGCAGAGCAGAGGAGGAGCCCAGTGGGGCCTGGACCTTCTCCCCATTTTTAATGCCTCTGCAAGGTCTTTTTTCCAAAAGCTCCCGGCTGTGGCTGGCTGTGCAAGCCGAGTATTTTTAGCAAGTATTCATGCGAAACAGCTCAGGATAATAATTTGCAATGTAAAGTTAGAGGCTTCCACAAAAACTCAGAGTAAGCAGATTTGGGTCAGCAGGACTTTGTGCTGATTGTGCTGAAAGGAACCATCCAGCCAGGTCCAGGGGAGCCTCACGGGGCTGGAGCTGGGCTCTGAGTTTTCCGGGTAATAAACCCCCACTGTGCCCACAGGACCAAAACCTGAAATCCTTCCATGGGCTGTGACTCTGCAAAGTCACAGATAAATAATGTCCCATGTAAATAGTCACATCCAGCATGTCACCAGAGTACCCACTGCCTTTCTGGACCCACATTTTCCCCCATCTCCCTTGGCCTCTTTTTGCCATCGTTGATCCTTGAGCAGGAGGGAAAAGCTTTGAGAAAACAGAGTTAATAAATCCAGCTCCTCATCCAGGGGTGAGCAGAGAAGGTGAAGGGTTTAACACCATGTGCCCAGGGGCTGCAAAGCTCTGTGTGGGTGGGAGTTTTACTGCTGTGAGGATGCCACAGCATCCAACCCAGGTTACCTGCACCAGAATAACGAGGGAAAGAAGTGTCTCACACTTTTAATTGTTTTAATAAAGAACAGAAGCATCTCTACAGACAGGACATGACTGGGCACCACATCCTTCATTTTCAGGATGACACCATCTCATTTTCTCACACCTCTGTGGCCCAGAGGAAAACCCTCCATGATTTTCCTGCTTCCTCAGGGTGAAGGAAACTTCTGTCCGAAGCAAACAACCAGAGTAAATTGAGGATGAAATGTCCCAGCCCCAGAAGGGATTTTTGTCAAGGCTGGGTTAGCACCTACCAGCTGATGATTTCCACTTCTGTCCAGTTCCTTACAAGTGGGGCAGCAAATGCCACTTACTTTAGTATAAAATGGGGTTTATGTGTTTAGACTTTGTCATAAAGGGTTATAATTAAAACTTTACTTTAAAATGGACTTCTCTTAAGCTGTGAGTCCATAAAATATGTGATCAATTGCGATGTGAGGCCTCGAGGGCTGCTGCAAGTTTGGTACAGAACTCACTCTTAATAGAGATTTGACAGCAGAATTAGAACTGCAGCAACTGAGGAAAAAAACCCCAATACCACATGGTGCTGTTCTCAAAATGGCTTTTTCCAGTTACATTCTGCTTTTACCAGCTGTTATGGGCTAAAAAAAGTCCTACATAATCATAAATGTTAATAAATACAGTACAAGTACAGGCTTTTTTCCTCCGTTTTGCTGCCATTCTTTGGGGTGCATTTTCTTTAAGCTCTTTTCTGTACCACAAATACAAGCTGGGTTTTTTTGTTTGTTTGTTTTGGTGGGTTTTTTCTTTTCCCTTTCCCTTGTGTGAAGAAACATCTCTGCAATCCCTAAGATTCTTGCTTTGGGACTTAATTTTGTCCTCACACCAACAGCAAACAACTCCTAGAGCTATTAAAAAATAAGTGCTCAACCCACTTAATAATTATTTTTACTGTGTTTTGAACACACAAAACATTAGGGCACCATGCACCCTTGTCACTGTATGCATTTGAAATGTACACTTAGGGGTATTTTCAGGCAGCAGAAGTACTTTTAACATTTTCAAAAGGAAAAAGCCAAAACCAGGGAATGGCACAGCTCATCAGCACCAGCTCCTGATGAATGGGTTTTTTCTGCCGAGATGTAAACCTTGGGCTCATCCCAGACCACAACACAGAAGTTAAAACCCTTTGGAAGAGAGAGATCCTTTTACCTGGGCTTACTTCCCAAGTGTGTGACTCTGTGCCTCTGCTGGGTGGAACGACATGGACTGACAACGTGAGCAGCTCCAATTGCAAATAAAAAAATCTTTATTGCATCTTAGAAGCAAGTCTTAAAAAAAAAAAAAAGAAAGAAAGGAAAAAAAAAAAGAGAGGAGGAAAAGAAAAATTTTCCATGCACCTACATCCTTGGGACTGTCACCAGAAAATGATGAACATTGTAAGACACAGACTCTATGCTAGTTGCAGTTCATATTCCATACACATGTAAACAATGGTTATTTCTTCTACTGGAATAGCAATTGCACTGTAAGATCCCTTCAAACGTTGCAACAACCACCAAAGCCTTGGGTTTTCTCCATTCCTTCACTTGCCTCCACTTCCCAAAGGGCAAAGGGCAGGCAAAGTGGAACTGAGGGCAATGGGATGAAATGGGGCTGGAGGATACGATAGAAAAATATATTGTTCGCTGGTTTTTATTTTCTGTTTCTGCTGAGCAGGATATTTACAGGTACATAGGTCCCAAGAGATCATCTGCTTCAATGACCATGTCCAGTCACTGTCTAAGTCTCAGTGTACAGGGTTCCCTATCTGGCTTTAAGGCACTTTATTTAGTGTATTTTCTCTTACCTTGCTAGGTGTTAACTCATAGGGATCACACTTTCCTTGTATTCAGCCTCCTCATCCCCAGTTCCTCTTAGAATACCAAAAAAATTCCTAAACTCACTGAAGTCATTCCAAAAATGTTGAAGAAATTTGGGGGAGAAAAAAAAAAAAAGATCCATGAAAAAATATTTTAGAAAGTAATCTTTGGAGATCATTTACTGTAAGTATGATGTACACTACCTTATCAGTGAGAAGATGCAATACATTCCTAATATATATATATATATATTTACACACGCATATATATATATATAAAATATTAAAATGACTAACAGATATTCAAGGAAAGGTCAAGAACCTAAAACAATGGATATTAAATAAATTAACGGTCTAGCAGATACAGAAAAAAAAAAAATCCCAAAACAAAACTAGCAATCAAATGTAATAATTGTTCCCATTAACATCAGGTGACCGAAGGAATGGACGCGATCGGGCGCGGGACACTCGGGGCAGAGGAGTTCTCCAGGTTCTCCTCGGGGATCTTGGATTGTTCATTGTGTGCTGTCGTTTGGCTGCCAGAGATTCCCATCCCCAGCCCCTTCCCCTGGCTCCTCAGCATTCCCTGGTGCATGGCTGAGGACAGAACACAGAACCCACCACGGCTTCCCCCAGCATTCCAAACACAACAATTTCCACAAGGACTAACCGGATCACGGCTTGTGCTTACTTCCTTCCCTCGCCTGCCCATCCTAAGTGGAGGTGTATTTTTAAACTGAAATAATCAGCTATTAGGGAAAAACAAAAACCCCTCCTGCGATTACCACCCTTGCTCATCGCCACAGCGACTCGGATTTTCTAACGCAATTTGAGAATTAATGGCTAATCCTGAACCAAAGGAGCAGAATCTTTGCACGGTAGCAGTCACACCAAAAACATTTAGACACAGCGTTTTGTCACTTGGCTTTGCACGCTCAGGTCCACATTTACAGAATCCCAGCCGTGAAGACGGCAACGGAAACGGTAGGAAACAATCTTTTGTTCATAAGGAAATTCTAATTCAAGTCAGATTTCCGCTGATCAGATAACTCTTAAACAATATTTTTTCTTTTTTTTTCTTTTTTTGTTTTTGTTTGAAGGCAAATATTGATCACAGTTTTGTTCAAAACCAAAAACACAACAACAAAAAAAACCCAAGGGCCTTGTTCTTCTCAAAACGAGCGCTTTGTAAGAAAACAACGATGATTTCTAAAATATATCCTGTGTGGTCTTTTAAAAGTGAATTATCAAAAAACATTTTCCCAAAAATAAATTAGATAATTAAAAAAAAAGTCTTTTCCAGCATAGCTGGACATTAGGCTGTCCTCACTGAGCCATTAGTATTGCTGCTTTTCCCAAAATTTGGGTCGTTTTTTTCAAACCATATTTCAGCCAGCTGTTGTGTGGACCCATACGTTGAAGCTTTGGACCCCAAGCACATTTTATATTGTTTTGGATCAAGATTAGGGTCACAAAAAACAGGGTGATGCACATGGACTACTCCAATTTCTTGGCTTCTGAAAGTTTTTAAGCCAGCTTGAATGACTTTGTTAAATAGATCTACGTCTTCAAGGCCCCAACCTTGGATGGAGACATCAAAGCCACCCGCTCGAAGCAGGTCACCTTTGTAAATACAGGTGATACCAAAGCCATAGTTCCTCCAGAAACCTGTTTTCTGAGTGAAGGCAAAATGATTGTCACTAGGAACCTTTCCACTATAAACAATCTTTGGATCATACTGGCTAAAAATGATGGGAAAATACACTTGCTGACCCAAAACTGTGTTGGCTCTACACCGCTGGAGGAATTCTGTGGTAAACACTAAGTCAACATCACAGAAGAAAAGTAAAGACTCGTTCTGGAACTGAGAAGATCCGACTTCCAGAGCCAGTGCCCTTGAGAACTCCCCCGACACCGGCAGAACCTGCATGTCAGCCTTGGGGTATTTGGAGCGGTAATCTCTCATCAGCTCGATCTGCTTTGCTTTGTCAGGGTTGGAGTTGGAATTGAAAAGCAGGACAACCAGCTTGACGTTCTGGTTTGGAATGAGGCACGTCTTTTCAAAATTCCCCATGAACCTCGCAAACATGTCGAACCGCCCGGAGAGAGGGATCAGGATGTTGATCTTCTTGTCTTTGAGCTCCTTCCTGTCTGCTTTGGACCTGCTGAGCTGGAAGGGGACAAACATCTTCAGCGAGTTGGAGAGGAAGGACAAGGACCCAGAATCCTGGTTGATTTTGCTGGCCAGCTCTTTGGCGTCCATCTCTTCGTGCTCCATGAACTGGATCTTGCTGAAGGTCTGCTGCAGGTACGCGTGCCTCCTCACAGGAACCGTCATCTTCTTCCCCTTGTGCTTCTTGTAGAGAAGCAGCAGGTCCAGCACGTACTCTGCTCCGTACATGGGGTTCACCCTGCGGTATCCATACTGTATCTCCTTGAAATCAATGATCCTCCCCCGCGTCTTGGCGTTGGCGTTGATCATTTCCATCACCTGCATCACGATGTCATCCAACGCCTCGCGCTGGGACGAGTCCATCCCTCTGCGGGGCGGCTGCCCGTCGGCACCCGAGTACAGATACTTCCCCGTAAGGAACTCCCACTCCAGGATCTCCTCGCGGTGGCGGGGCTGGAAGCGCATGAAGGAGGGCGGCATGCCCAGCTGCAGGTCCTCCTTGTGGATTTCGGTGTTGCTGTACTTGCTCATGAGCACGATCTCGCGGTGCAGCTGCACGGTGCGGTGGCGCAGCTCGGCGATCTTGCGGCTCAGCATGTAGCTGTGCAGCCTGTACTGGTACGGGGGGTTCTTGTTGGGGTGCAGCGTTATGGCTCGGTGGATCTTGCTGTTCCTCAGGTCACGGATGTAGCCTTTCTTGTTCTTCTCGTAATTCTCATAGAACAGCTGCTGCATCTAGGGGAGAGAGAGAGAGAGAGGAGAAGTCAGAGCCTGGCAGAGCTGACCCTGTGAACGTTTGCTCACGCTACCCTGCTGGGAGAGAATTCCCCCTCACTCACAGGGCCAGAAGGCTTTCTGAATAAGCTGTGCTTGGGTTTAGGCACAGGTTGTAGCAATACCAGCTGCTATTCAAGGAAATTAAGAGGATTATTCATTGTGAACTGGTGAAAGAAACATCTATAATGGATTTGGGATTACTGCAGCCCATTCTAGAGGTATCACCGGCGGCCAATCAATTCTGCAGTAAGTCCATTGTAAGCTCATTTCACAACAACAACACACCATCACCAGGAAAATAACACCGTGAAGTGTTCACTGCAAAACTCTCATTATTCATTTGCTTCCCTTTGTTTTCATATAAATAATAAAGAAGAATAAAAAGGGATGCCATGTACATACTAAGCAAATCTGACAACACCTTTTCCATTAAACCTAAATGCCATTTAGGCATTAGAAATCCAGGTTTAGGCATTAAAAATGCAGGTTGCTGAATGTTTTAGTCAAGATGCCAAATATCCTACCTCAAGTGCTGCAATGCAAAGCTACATCTGTCATTTTAAAATGTCAATGGACAGTAAAGTGCACCTGAGATTCCTAGAGTTCCAGAAGTCAGGTAATACAGGATGCATGCATACACCAGAATAAAAACATCTTTAACGTGGCATTTGCTATTTCAAAACAGGAAGCCAGTGAACTGAGATTAGATTCACAAGTCTTAGGAAAGCAGACCAACCAGCTTTGCAGTCCTCAGCAGCTCAGGCAGTAGCTGATATCGTGAAAGGCAAACCAGGATGATAATATGGAAAATAAACTGAAAATAAAACCTTGAGACCAAAGGTATATACCAGCTTAGATAATGGAAATTTAAAAAGACCACGGGCAGATTCTATGTCACAGCATAAATGTCATCAACCTGCTAGAGCTGACACAGCACCCTCATTCAATATGGGATGCAATCTCTGTTACTGGCAGTAGAATCTGCCACAGGAAACAGAGCAATAAAGCTTGTGTAAAAGGTCAGCAAAGAGCCAAACTCAATAAAAGGGAGAAGGTCTCAAATATGATGGCAATCAAACAGAGCACTAAAAAGGAAATCACCAGGACAGAAACCTTCCTTTTACCAGCTGCTCAGAGCCAGCACAAGTCCTGTTTTATTAGGCCTTCGGTTGCATTTTTCCCATTATTGTGGACAGACACTGAAGCTCAGGGATAAAATTACACCTGGATTTAATTGCTCTATCTCAACAAGCTGCCTGTGCATGCTGAAACCTGACATTGGGCGTATCGCCGCCAACAGCACGGAGCAGCCTGGGCCCACTGGGAGCAGGGATTGAATCTGAGCAAACGTAAATCACTGCAAAGGAGCGAGGGAGGGACTGCAGCAGGACTGAGAAAGAAAGGACGTTTATTTCGTGGGTCACCAGCAGTCCCCCACCCCCTTCTCCTTCAAGTTCACCTTCTTCCCGCTCTCCCCAAGTGATCCCTGCTGCGTGCACGCTGTCTGGGAGCAATCCAGGCCAGAGGATGGATGGATCTGCACAGAACGCAGCCAAAGGAGAACATCTTGGCCATGGCCCCTTGGCAGCCTCAGATGAGCTGCCTGTCGAGATGGATAATATCCCTTTAGAAGGCAGGCAGGACTGAACAGAGCGCCACGGGCAGAGGTTAGCTGGGCTTATCCCACGTCCAGCAGAGTTATCCAAACTGAATGAACCTCATGCTTTCCCAAGAAACACGTTTTTTCCACTCATCCAAAAGACTGTTCTTCATTTGTATCCCTGTATTGTTTCCTCTACTAATAAAGCTTTATTTTTTTGGTCACTTTGAACCTGGCTGCTGCTGTGAAGGGCTCTAGGAGATCTTAAATCACACCCACTTAGGGTCAGTCCTGTGAGCACCATTTATTGCAGTGGAGAGCTCTCATGGGAAGAACAGGCTCAGTCCAACACTGCAGGACCCACTTATTCTACTGACAACACTGATCTATCCTCTAACACTACACACATGTGAAACTACAAGTATTAAATGTATATGGTAACCAATTTCACTGACATTTTAACAACAACTATAGGCAGAGGCTTTTCCAGGAGTCCTGTGACATCAGATAAAAATTCTTAAATCACATCATTAGGCCACCATTATTTAAAGGAAAATTTACAATAGGATTTAATTTCAAGTCTTGTTTTGAATTTATAAGACAACAAAATCAAGACCATGCAGCCTGAATGCATTTACTCCAAAATTGCTACCTAGGGCATTCTGAAGAGGAAACCATGACAAGCAGAAAGGCTTTCAGATTACACAACGAAGTTTTAATAGAATACTGATGGGTAGGAAAATGTTATGAAACATCCCAATGGAAGTAAAGATAGCAACCCCTAGCAAATGGCACAAATTAAAATTAAGAAGTATATTTTAAAGCTCTGGCTTGCCACACAGCAGTAACCTCTTAGGTAGACCAGTTACCTTCTAATACTCCTTCCTGCCCCCTCCCAAAAGTAGCTTGCTTCAAAAACTGAGAATAAAACCTATCTCAGCAAGCCTTTAGTGGGGCTCCAACACAAAGCAATTTACAACTGAAGCATCAATTAACATGCACCTTGCTCCAGCCAAGAAGGTGGCAACTGCCCGAGCCCTGCCTCCGGCCAACCCTGCCGTGCAGCTAATGAGAAGCACCACAGTAGCCAGGCTTTTATATAATCCCATTTTTCAGGAGAATGCCTCGCAAGGCTGGCACGTTCCATATTTTCTCTGTGAAGTCTCCCCCTCTCCTGCTGCAGTGTCCCCCCTGTCCCTGGCACTCAGCAGCAGGCACGGGCTGTGCCAGGATCCCGCAGCTCCGATCCCCCCAGGGAGCCAAGGTACACCCCACACCAGCAGGAAACACAAAGAAGGGGGGTGGAAGGGGTTAAACAACTCCCTACAGAGAGTACAAGGAGTTACAAACCATTGCTTCACAGTGGCACCGAGTGCTGCACACAAAGCCCGAGTGGCCAGTGGCCAGCAGAGCAGTTTAACCCTTCTCGGGCCGAGGCGAGGGTGGACACTGCACCCAGGGCCACAGAAGGGCTGTGAGGCCCCAGGGCTTTGTGCCAGAAACCAGCCCCACATGGATTCTCTTTGCTCACCCACACCTACACACTCGAAGGAAATGAAGGAAATGAGCAGTTCTCTCCATTTGACAGCTCCACCAACACTGATTTGCCCAAATCATTAAGGCTCCCCAGCACTGGGTTCAATCACTAACAGGGGCAATGCCCACCTATCACCAATCATTGCCAATATAATTTCTTACCATATCTGGGTCCAAAGCATTGTGCTAAATATCACCAATTAGCACACACTGGCTTTTGACTCCACGCAACACTGGACAGCCATAAGGAAGACACAAAATCAGAATTAACTCTTGTGTACATCACCAATAGGTGGGTGGAAGGAGGTCATAGAGAAGGGAATACCTGTGATTTATTTGCTTCTCCCAGTCACTAAAGACACACGTGGGGAGTGACACAAGCCCAGGACATGCACGTCTCCCACAGCCATTACGTGCCAAATTCCCCATGCCTGTTACCAGAGTCTTGAGAGCTGAACTCTTGCAAACTCTTCTTCTAGTGAAACTGGTTTCTCTATGATTCTTTTTTTTTTTAAAAAAAAGAACCTTTCATGGATATTAATTTTGCAATGATTATATTCTAAGCATGCTTTATTCTAGTGCAGAGCACTGAGAGCATAGGGATACAAAGAAGAGCTACTCTTTATTGACCACTATTTACTCTAGACCTGTTGAAGCCTTAAAAACCCTAATGTTCCCCAAACCATTAGAGACTGAATGTTTAAACTGTGGTACAGCTGTTGTGGGCACTGCTGGCTCATGTCCAAAAGACCAACTGAAAGGAGAGAGTGTTATGTTCTTCATTTTAAATGAAGAAGTCTTTTGCAGGCCAAAAAAAAGTGTACTGGAGAAAATGGACTTTAAAAATAAGACCAGTTTATGCAGAAACTGGCCCGCAGCCACGGATTAGCCCCCGAGGGCTTTCTCTCACAGCTCCAGATTGTGCTACCAGAGCCCAGAAAACACAGCCCCACAAGCCTCAGGAACAGCAATCATGGATAAGACATGTTCTGTGGCAGGTTTCGAAATGCCCAAGATGGGTTTCAATACAAAGCCCAGCTAATTGAAAGCCCAATGATGGTTAATGTCCCCGAGCTCAGAGCACCTCTGTCAGGAGGGGATGAGGATGTGGGTCCCAGTGTGGAGCTGTTCTGCCACAGGAGCAATGCAGGTGCTGGGACAGCCCCACAGCTCTGCAGCCAAAGCCAGGCAGGATGCTCAGGTCCATCTCCTCCTCACAAAGATGTGGCACAGCTGGAGGCAAGGGGGCAGCTCCTGCTGAAAGGAAATTAAAGTCCTTCTGCTACCTCATCCCAAGGAACTGCACTAGCACCATTTTGCCACTTTGCACTGATTAACCACAACACATCTCCAGTTTTCTGGTTTATACATCACCAATACAGCTCAACTGATGAAAAATTTTGCCAAGGGAAAGGAGCAGCAGGGTTTTGTGACTTCCCTCTGTTAGAGGGGAAGACTGTAGGGACCCCTGGATACAACTCTGCGTATTCAGGGTTCTTTCTGTTTAAATCCTGATGCTTTATATCCCACAGCTAAACACTGACATGACTGAAGCCACTCCTCAGACAGAGTTATTATGGTGGAGACAAACACAGGGAAGTAATGGATAAACACTCACTTCCAGTGAACTTGGCCACTCGTTCATGGCTTTAAGCTCCCCAGTTGCCACTACAGGAAAGGATGCAGGAAATGCCACTTGCTGCTGGGAGATCAGACTTTCCTCTCAGCTGGCAGGTGAAGCCCTGAGCTCTGGAGCACGATTAAATGATGTGTTTCTTCAGACAAGTCACTTCTCACACAAATTTCATCATGTACTGCTGGT